TTTTGATGTAGATATTGTGCCCGCTTTCCGAAAATGAAGGTTTATCTTACCTTTCCACAGGTATCCTAATCTGAATCTGAAGAAGCTACCGTGTTAGCGAAACATGTGATGAAATTGAGAATTCAGTGGAATCGTTTGTGAAGAATTTACATTATGGATCTCCATCAAGTAACGACCGAGTCCATTCAAAACTATTTTTTTATGCAACCGACACAGTCGTCCATTTTGATACCAAAATTAGCTCTTGAATTGAGGTTCCTTTTACTAACAAAAACATAGGTATGTTGCTAGGCAACACTTTTAGTTCCTAGGAGCTAAAGTTGAACTAAAAAGGATGTACTAGAGGTCATCAAGAATAATAGTAGATTGTTTTATTAGGATCAAAAGTGACACTTTGTTTGACAAGCGAAAATTTGCGAGTCGAACAAAGTCACTTTTGATCCGAATGAAACATGCTATTTTTTCTGCAACCGAAACAATTAACTCAAATGAGCATGTGAAGTAACCACCAATGCCGTGCCATATGTATGCAATGCAACAAATATTGACAAATAATCCATGTGGTGAGAATATTCTACCTGCATTAACAGCAGGTTAGGTTTTCTAGAATGTTCGAATTGTAGTTTCAATATAAATACAACCACAGAGTGAGATATTTGTGTATGGACCAGGTGCTCTAATGGCAAATACAGCGCCAGTGCCAGCTATAGGAACAAGACGTGGAAAATGTTAGGTTAGTGAGCATATCAACAATGATAATAGTGATTATTTATTCCTCTCCATACTACACTGTGTTTGACTTGATAATCAAATGAAGCTAAACAATATCGTTGTTTGAGACAAAAAAAACTATTGCTTGCCGTGATTATTCAAAAACAAGTCATTCATCCCGAGAATAACGAATGAAATACAGATCAAGCAAGTATTTGAATCTTGAAGGCTTCCCTGATCAAAACAAAAATACTTAACTGAGATATTTATAATTCCAATACTGAACTATAATAAGGTGTATTTATATCTCCAGCATGGGTATAAAATGCCAAATCTGCTGAAATCGGAAAGAAATCAGGTATGCGTCTCAACCCAAATAACCAACCGTTACAATGTTGTTTATTCTTGATGACGTCCAGTACATCCTTTTTAGTTCCTAGGAGCTAACGTTCAACTTTAGCTCCTAGGAACTAAAATTCAACTTTAGCTCCTAGGAACTAAAAAATGGACGACTTTTGTGTCGGTTGCAGAAAAACAACATTGTTATGGTTGATTATTTGGGTTGGGACGCATGCTTGATATGTTTCTGATTTCGGCAGATTTGGCATTTCATGCCTATGCTGGAGATATATACACCATATAGTAGTTAAGTATTTTTGTTTTGATAAGGAAAGCCTTCAAGATTCACATACTCGCTTGATCTGTATTCCATTCGTCATTCTCGGGATGGATAACTTGTCTTTGGATAATCACGGCCAGCGATGGTTTTTTGTCCCACACAACGATATTGTTTACCATCGAGTTTAGCATCATTGGATTACCGAGCCAAACACAGTGGAGTATGGAGAGAAATAAATAATCAGTATTATTATTGTTTCTGCTACTGAGGCTTATCATAGACGCCGGTGAGCACACTATGCTCACTAACCTAACATTTTCCACGTATTTTTCCTATACCACCTGTCCATCGAGCAACAACTCGCAAATTTTGCTTGTCAAACAAAGTGCCACTTTTGATCCTACCAAAACAATCTACTATTATATTATATCGAAGTTTTCATTTTCTCATGCTGCTTGGATGATTGAATTTAAAAAATATACCCTCGAATTCGAGTACTTTTTTAAAATATTGTTGGTTTGGGAGACATTGAATTTATGTATTTTATTTGAAGATTTATCCACACTGTACAGGGTGCACAACTAAATACGGCCGTCGGCCATATCCCAGCAACGAATAATGATACAACTTTGAAAAATAAAATATTTCAAGAAAAGTGACCCTACAAAATAGCTGGAAAATATTTTTAGGTTCCTAAAATAACCGCTAGGTGGCGTAACGGCTATGAGTAATGAAAATTGAAAATTTTTCCGCACTTAGTAGTGAACTGAAAATATATGCAGTTTGATCCTTGATAAATTCCTAGTTTATTTTGTTTCACACTTTTTGTCCCATCTCAAAAAATAAAGTGGTGTGGGAAAGTCAAATTATGTATTTTCATCGGTTTTTTCTAAACAACTGTAACAGAATTCAACAATATTGGGCTCGTTGTAAAGACCTCTTCCTGTTCTATCAACTGTGATTTGAATTGGTTTCATATTCATATTCATGTCACCGCTGCCGCTAGAGGGCGCAATCTAGAGTATCAATGGATATCGTGATATGGAAAAAAAATTAAATGTAATGGTATGCATAATATCACACGATGAAATAGAGGAATTAAATCACAACAGACCAACGAAAACCGCAACATGATAGCGTTTCGCTAACGGAAGATATTAACGAACAAAGTTGGAAGAATGATTGATGACAGCCGCACTTGTTGTTCACCCTGTACTACAGCGTTCAGATACCATAACAAAAAAGTTCCATAACAGTTAGGTAGAATTTAGTGAATATTCCGTTAATCGTCGAAGACAATGGAAGTTTGCGGTTGAAAGCATAATCGCAATTTCATTCTTTCACAGACGATTTCAATTCATTTTTCATTTCACAAGTCAATTTTATCGGATCTGAGGACTTCCACAAAAATCTCCCAAGAAAAAAATTGTTCACATAGATCCTCGATCCTCATGAAGCAATCAGTATGTATGAAGTGTGTGTTCAATGATTGCCATTTGGAATATTTAGTTTTTTTTATAGAACACTTAAAAATCACAGGAGTTGTTGAAATATCTGACATTGAAACAATGACACTCATTTGTCATATCACTTCAAAAGAAGTCAGAATAAAAAGCAATCGCGGATATTCTGTTCTATCGTTTAATCCTCGGATTTTCTAAATTTAATATTTCTGAAGAATTCGGAATTTCCAAACTGTAGAGGCGGCATTTGGATCAGCATCAAATTGCTCAACTTTACTTTAAATTAACGAAGTTTGTATCTGCATAGATTATGGCGGATTATGGTTACCGAGATCCGAGCCGAGATCCTAATGATAATGTTACCCCTCGAATTTGAAACACCCTGTATCTCACCCTGTATATAGAAATAATCAACATGTTTTCATATTTGGAAACTAAGAGAAAAAATATCTACCTCGTTAGTAGGTTAAATTCATAAATCGCAAAAATTACGAGAAATTATGTATAGGTAACACACATTTCAAGTGTAAAAGTACCTACATAGTGGTATTTCAATTCAATATCCCAATTATAGGTAAACTTGGCTTGATATTTTTTCACTGTAGAGACGTTCCCAGCAAAACTGGGCCAATCGAATTTAGGTTTGTTAAGAATAATATCAGCGATATGAGACGTGATGCCTGAAGGCAATTTCATGCAAAAACCAGGGCATCAATCAAGAGGTTAGAACTGGAGTATGATCACTGACTGGCAGTAATTATTTATGATGATGAGAAGACTTTGAGCTAATAAATGAAATCTAATAGCAATGAAAATATGAGGAAGTGAAATCCGTCAAAAACCATTTTCATGAGTAGTAAACCACAAAATTGTTTATTTAAATTGAAATAGATGGTAATGTTGGTATTACCCAATCAAATAAACTTGATCTCTGTCACTCTCTGTGTGTTCAAAATATTGTTAATCCTTCTGATAAAAATAATTCTCAAAATAATTATTGTATCATGCATATTCAGTATGAATTTTATCAAGTTATTTAGAATCCTGACCTAATGATTTGATATCTTTATCACATAGGTATCAATATGGGGTGTATTCAAAACATGCTTTATAATATATCAATCAATGCTTGTAATCAAAGTTATTCCAAAATATAAACAAGAAATATAATAATATAAATGAACTAATTCAATAAACTTATATACGAAATTTACAAATATGGTTCAGCCGAGGGTTCAGCTAATTTAGGAGCCAGATAATCTTTGAAATCCAGTATCTTCCAGAATACTTTTTATTCTACATAATAAGTAGGGAGTTTCATTTAGTTTTGATTTTAATTCTTCATAACTCACTTCATCTATTATCATTACAATGTTGGAAACAAGAAACAACCTAATAAGTCTTTTACTAATGTCATCAAAATATTAAAAATAACTTTTATGTATACCTAGCTATCATAGTGTTCTGAGAGGAGGGGGTTCCATAAAAAATCGTGACAAAAATCAATCTATTTTCATATCAAGTACAAGTAGGCAGTTGATATGGTTGATATTTGAAGTAAGATCAAATCCTACAAGTTTTTGTTTTGTTTGAAATTCAACTTTTTCCAATTATTCACAAATAATGAGTTGAAGGGGTTTCAAAATATAACTACCTCCATAACTACCTACCTACCTACCATCAGAGGACCCTCTACACTCTTATTCACTTTTATAGTTTAGTACAAGTTGAATCAAGGCTCTGATGAAAATACCTATAGAGATTACAACCTTACAGTAACACCATAGATAGTAAAACAGAATTTCAATTATAGCAATATATTGAGTTGAATATCTATGTAGGTACCTAGGTAATCTACTTTAGTATAGTCTATTTCTTGAACTTAGCTGGATTCGGCCAAATTAAATGTTTATTAATATTAAGTACTTACCTATAGTAAAAATATTGAAAATATAGAGGAATGCCATCCGATATAAATATTTAATAAATAAACTGTAGAACAATGTGTGATTTTGTACCTCGTTTCTACCAATCAGTAAATAATTTCGTCATCTCTGGTCATTAATAAAAATCCTAACAGGCTGACAACTCGGACGACAACAAATAATTGTGCAACAGGTAAACTCCAATGCGAATGACAAGTTCAACTTTTGTTTGGGAAACGCTGGGAACCTTATTTTAATGAATTAAATTAGTCAACCACTCACCGTAATTTGATAATACACTAGAAATTCCATTGGAAATTAATAAAAACAAAATCAATCTCTCACACAAAAAAGGTAACTTCGCCATCTTTCCGATATCAAGTGCCAACTTCAAGTAATTCAAGTTCATGTCATGTTCATCAACAAGATCCTTCAACTTCTTTTCTTTCAGTAACCTTTCATTTATTCAATTGTCAAGATGACCTAAGCTAAAAGACCACTTGGGCAGTGGGCTACAAGCATACAAGACGAGACTTGAGTCACAAAAAGAAAAGAAGATGTCACCTGTCAATCCTGTCATATTTGTCATTCTACTCATTTTTGTCAAAAATTAAAAAAATATATTTTTGTATTTATTTATAACATAACTCATAAAAGTCATAAACTATATAAGAATCTACAGAAATTAATGGAAATTGTCATAATTCCGCAGAAAAATGAATGGGGAACTCAAATATGTTATGTTCAGTCCTATTGAGGATTTTTTATACCTTCTGAACAATGTCGTTTTAGGAGAATGTGTGAGTAGCTGATTATTATTGGTAGTTGATCCTTGCATCTCATTGAGATTCATGAAACATGAGAGGAGACTCTCTCATTTATTTTACCCTTGTAGACAATCGAAGATTTTATTCTGTTTGTGGGGACTTTGGTGGCATTCATAGCTTTCATTCTCTGGTGTTGTTTCCCAGTTATACCTAGAGAAGCACCACTTCCTGTGCTGAAAAATTCTGGAAGTGGAAAGGACGAAGAAAAATATAATCAACTTCTAGTTGACTATGATCTCTCAATAACTTGAGTATTTTCAAGTATGGAGCATTTATTTTGAGGTTTGAATTCTAGTCTTTGTTATTCCATCTTTTATATTCCTGGTAAGAAATCTCTAATTAGTAACATATCAAAAATATAATTTCAGTTGGAATACTTTTTTAAAACCCCTGCAAAATGTAGAACATTGAATATTGATACAGGTGGCCATAAATTCATGAGTAATTTCATGAATATTCATTATGATCTAAAATATCTGAAGTGTTTGTACCTACTATTGAATGGCCAGATATAGAATTCTGTGAATAAAATACAAAAATGAATTAGGTAGGAAGTAGGTATAAGTTGTTCCCCCTTCCCCCCCCCCCGGTTCTTCCCAATGAAGCAAAATAAATCACTTCAGGATGTTACTATTGAAATGATTGAAATTCTCCCTTTAATGCTGGCATGACATTTTCAGTTGTTCCACTTGTTTTTAAATTCGAGGATATGTTCTTTCTCTGGATATAATCCCAAATCTGAAATGGTAGAGAGATAGATCCACAGGATATGGTCTAAAGAAAACAAAAAATAAACATATTTAGAAAGTCCCAAATTATTAGGTACCCTATACATATTCAAAGAAAGATACCTTGATCTAAATATTATTGTTGTTTGTTTTTCTTTATTTTTGAATGTAAACTAAGTATTCTATATAATTTTCAATATCAATTGAATCAATACTTATTGAGATACTTATATAGGTACCTACTTTATCTAGTTCATCTACTTTTTAACATCTCAATACTGTCAAAAAGTTTCAAAACTAAGGTAGTAATCAGTACAGGTAGGTCCTGTCCAGAAAGCCTAAGTCTTGGCCTAAGTACTTGGTTCAATTTCAGTATACAGGATGTGCATTATGCATTAAATATATACAGGGTGTAATTAAATTGATGTCTGAAAATAAAGGATATGGTTCCTTACAGTCCTTAACTCATTTTGGGAAGAAAAGTACAGATGAACAACTTCAATACCGTTATAGATATTTTTATTAAATTTGAAATGCACCTACTAAGCACCAATAGGCATTTTTACATGCAGAAGATTTTTTAATATCTCTACCAGTGTCGTACGTAAGGGATGTATCCTGGAGGTTTTTCGAAAAAAAGATTGAATGCCCTTGATTTTTCCGAGGATAAAAATCTCTTTTGAAAAAGTTACTCATATTTAGTACTAGTGGATGCATTTTTTCCCATTGTAAATCTTATGACCCAATTCCATGTATCTCCTAGCCGAGCTCCTAGCTATATTGTAAATGTATCAAGAAAACAATATTTTTACATTCAAATCAAATATATTGTCTCCGCTGAAATGGTGTATGTAGATTATGATTCTTCTAAGTGTACAAAATATTTTTAGTGACCTTTTGAATAAAATATTGAACCGAGTTTCATGTAAAGAATTGGTTCTTCGGAATTCCTTATTTTATCCTGTGACTTTCTTTCAAACTTGATAACTGATTCCATGGGAGAAACGGGTGTGACAGCCTCTTCCTTTTGTTCATCAATTATATTACTCTTCACTGATACTGTCAAGTTGAATACAGGCTGAAAATGTACCAAAATACTTATAAAAATCTTGTAACTTTAAAATTCAAATCAACTGTGCTAACAATAATTTTCTTTCAAATAATAACTCAAGGATCGGAAAGTATTATAAAACATTTTATTAATTAATTAATCAATTTTCACCTTCTTTGTCATGTTGAAGAAATCTACAATAATATAATTACACTTTATAATCCAATCATACTAATCTCGAAGTGAAGCATTTTTTTTTTCAACAGACTGTAGACAAAATATCACCGAAAATTGACCTTATAAAAATTTGCCCATGACATTGGGGTGGAAGAAAAAATGGCCCGATAAGCATGTATATTACACTCTACAGGGTATTACAGATTTTATGAAAAAAAAGCACGCTATAATTATTGGTACACCCTGTATTCATAAAAAGAGATAACCTCGGGCTGGTGTAGTTTTGACGAGAATGTATCTCAAACTTTTGGATACATTTTGGTGGAGCGTTCATTTTTTGGGGAAGATAGATATATTAGAATTTAGAAATGCAACTACAGCCATAAACGTCTATATTCGTTATCCCCCCCATATCGACGCCCTTGGCAGGGGTAAGGGCGATTAGTTGGATAATAACCGAAAAAAGATTCTTATAATAAAATTCTTTAAAAATTTATGATAGTTATTATGCAACTTTTATTGAGGCGATATTTGGTGGATCTGTCTATTCCAATGAATTCTAAATCCTGTTGAAAAAATGCCTCACATTTGAGAACAGACTTTTTTCTTCAACAGACTGTAGACAAAACATCACCGAAAATTGACATTATAAAAATTTGCCCATGACATTGGGGTGAAAGAAAAAATGGCCCGATAAGCATATATATTACACTCTACAGGGTATTACAGATTTTATGGAAAAAAAAGCACGCTATAATTATTGGTACACCCTGTATTCATAAAAAGAGATAACCTCGGGCTGGTGTAGTTTTGAAGAGAATGTATCTCAAACTTTTGGATACATTTTTTGGTGGAGCGTTCATTTTTTGGGGAAGATATATATATTAGAATTCAGAAATGCAACTACAGCCATAAACGTCTATATTCGTTATCTCCCCCTCCATATCGACCTCCTTGGCAGGGGTAAGGGGGATTATTTGGATAATAACCGAAAAAAGATTCTTATAATAAAATTCTTTAAAAATTTATGATAGTTATTATGCAACTTTCATTGAGGCGATATTTGGTGGATCTGTCTATTCCAATGAATTCTAAATCCTGTTGAAAAAATGCCTCACATTTGAGAACACCCGGTATTTTTTCAGTGATGTATCTTTACTTACAGTTGCCCGTATTTCAGAAAGATACGTCCTATGCAAGAATTCACTGCAAGGGAGCTTTCTCAAACTCCTTTCTATTTGATTGTGTTGTTTGTGTTTTTCCGAAATACGGAACATTCGTTCAATACATCTGGCAATGTATTTCAGCTCAGTGACGGCGTCTAGGGCTTCGGAAATACAACTTTCTCCTATTTTAACATACAACTTTTGCTCTTCTAACATTTCCTGTAAATTTAGATATAATCAGTGTGAAACCAGCCACGAGTTCCAGCCACGACTTCGCCTAATATTCAAGGCGCGCGCCATACCACCAATGGTCGTTCATTATCAATTAATATTCATGGCTGGCCATGCAATTACTTAAACCTCCAAAATATGTCAATGGATGAAACTATTTCACATCAATGAATTCCTCTGAGGGTCTATGATAATCTGTTTATCTCACAATATTTTGTCGGGCAAGAATGAACCCCACAGGCAACCTTTTATATTTCTTATATTGTGAGATATACATATTATCGAATACTATCAGAAGAACACATTCATAGAAAAAAACTCCCATCCACGTGTATTTTGAAAAAGTCATGATTTTTTTTCGAAATTCCGAAAAAGGGGGCCTATTGATGAAATAATGCATGAAATATTGAAAATCCACTATTTCATCACTAGAATTATATCTGCAATAAAAAATGGTGACAGCTGTCCAAATCCAAAATGACACTATATAGGGTGTCCCAACATTGCTGGGACACACAGCTACCACGTGTAATACAGTTCAAAATGAGTTGATTGGACCCCACTTATTTATATCAAAAAATTTACCGTTTGTCCGTGAGTCGAGTTCAAATAAGTTTACATAAAAATCATATTTTTGTGCGCTGTTCAAAAATGAGTGAAATAAATTAAATGAAATTTGACAAAAGTGCATTTCAGAGGATAAACCTTCTTTCAGTGATCAAAAAAACCTGAAAGAAATTGTAGAAGGGTTGCAACCATCCTCATCCCCTGACATTTTTTTCAGAACAGTCTTAGGGGTGGTAATAGGGTTCTCAATTTTTTTAAGCGAGATGACTGATTATTTAACTTGTTTTTGTTACTCCTGTGAAAATTCCGTATTCCGCATAGCAATTTTGGGGCACCCTGTATAATGCGTGGGTGCATAAAGAAAATTGCTGCAGTTTTTTGGAAAATTGCGAACTGTAAAGCGGCTCTGTTGAATTTTTCTCTTCAAGTGAATTAATTCCAAAGAGTCCGAATTAAGTCAAAAAGTCGGATTTTGACTCTTTTAGAGTAATGAGTTATTCCAGCCCTGGTTTCTATAAATGAACCAATGTTTTGGAGATAATGATAGTGGACTGTATGTGAGATGTGAGAATTTGAATTTGAGCAATGCGTAAATACGATTTTAGAGAGAATACAAACAAACAAAAAAAAACGAGGCCGTGATTTTCCTACCTGGTTGATCCGATGTTTCTTCTGACGTCTAAGAGGACTAAGTATTTGCTGAATCGTGAATCCAGTTGTACATAAGAGGAGATTGCTGATGAGGAAACTGATAGGTTTTCACTCGCGCGCGAGACCGGCAGAAATTTTCATATAAGCGAGAGAATACCGAATTTGCCGGTATTTCGAATCGATATCGATCGCGATCAATTTTTCGAGTGCCTAGGCGGATTCGAGACGACCCGTCCCAAAAAGTTACAGCGTTGCCACGTGTCGTATCCATATTTTCTTCTTTCTTGAGATTAGTATGGAAAAGCACGACCATGATCGCGATTTGAGACTCAAAGAGAAATATGAATGTAACTCAAAATAACTAATTAACTATATACCTACAGTGTCTTTCAAAAGTATCGGAACGGTCTCATATTGCAGGAACGGCTTGAGAAAAATTCACGAAATTTTCTACAGGGTGATTATTGATGATGTCCGATTCAATGGTGGCATGGGCAATGTTGCCAAGTTTACAGTTTTTCAGATATTAGGAGTAACTTTATTTTTTCAAATGGAATACCCCATTTATTTTGATTGCAATTAATTAAGCGCCTCCTAAATACTTGAGTCCTTGAATATCAGATTCGTAATTGACGTGATTTTCAAAATATGACAACATAGCATTTTCGTTAAAAAGTTCTGGAACGGTCCCATATTTCAGAAACGGCTCAGAGAAAATTTATGAAAACTCCGACAGGATGATTGTTGATGATGCCCGATTCAATGGTGATATCGGCAATGTTGCCAAATCAACAGTTTTTCAGATATTGAGGGTAATTGATTTTTTTCAAATGGAAAACCCTATTTATTTTCGTTGCAATCATCAGCTCCCCCTCATTACTTATGTCTTCAAATATCAAATTTTAAATAAGTGTGGTTTTTCAAATATGAGAACATGCTCCGTTGAAATTTCCGCGAACGCTCCAATATTTTCAAAAGGGCACGCGAAAATATGAAATTTCATTGCGATCAATTCGCAACTCACTCTTTTAATGCAGTCTTTTCAATCCATGTCACTCAAATAGTTATTAGCGTTTAGTTTTTGTAATCAGTAACAAGCACTTCAATAGCTATTTGTGTATTTAGAGCACAAAGTGATGGATTGCCTCTCGACAAAGAAGCGGAACGCGGTAATCTGGAGAGCGGCAATTACACTTTATGCTCGAATTAAACACAATACTTTTAAGACAAATGCAGATCTCAGATTCAGAAAAAAACTCGATACTTTATCATTCATACATTATTACCTAATGATATTTATTTCATTTATTATTTACAAGATTGACTGAATGTATTGCAATGAAAACAAATAGGGTATTCCATTTGAAAAAATTGAGTAACCTAAATATCTGAAAAACTGTTGATTTGGCAACATTGCCGATATCAACATTCAGTCGGGCATCATCAGAAACCATCTTGTATAAAATTTCATAAATTTTCCTTGAGCCGTATTGAAAATATTAGAAGGTTCCCAGACTTTTGAACGAAAATGCCATGTTGTCATATTTCGAAAACCACTTCAATTTAAAATCTGAAATTTGGAGACATAAGTAATGAGGCGTCGCTGAATGTATTGCAATGAAAACAAATAGGGTATTCCATTTGAAAAAATTGAGTTACCCTAAATATCTGAAAAACTGTTGATTTGGCAACATTGCCGATATCACCATTGAATCGGGCATCATCAACAACCATCCTGTCGAGGTTTTCATAAATTTTCTCCGAGCCGTTTCTGAAATATGGGACCCTTCCAGAACTTTTTAACGAAAATGCTATGTTGTCATATTTCGAAAATCACGTCAATTACGAATCTGATATTCAGGGACTCAAGTGATTAGGAGGCGCTCAATTAATTGCAATCAAAATAAATGAGGTATTCCATTTGAAAAAATAAAGTTACTCCTGATATCTGAAAAACTGTAAACTTGGCAACATTGCCCATGCCACCATTGAATCGGACATCATCAATAATCACCCTGTAGAAAATTTCGTGAATTTTTCTCAAGCCGTTCCTGCAATATGAGACCGTTCCGATACTTTTGAAAGACACTGTATACTAAAAATGGAATGGTGTCGGAACAATGAGTATTATTTCAATATGATATGTATATAGCAACGACAAATCAGATTTATTTGCCCCAATATTGTTTCGGTATATGTTCTCACATTTTCGTAATGTCGTTGGAGAATTTTAGACTGTGTTTCCTTCAAATATTCTCCCCATTTTTCAGCCCTCATTAGCAAGCTAGACATTATTTTCTTGTCTGTTTGAGTAGGGTCAAAATTGATGATGTCGAATTCTATTTCCACTTCCTTCCATGCTTCGCCAAATTTCAGTGCCAAGAAGTTGTCGGCTAATAACATTGTCATCTGCGAAAAATTCTTCATTTCAAAGTTCATTTTTGAATTCCAAAATTGAAAATAATGAGCGGAAAATATTGTTATTTTCATCAACATTTCAAGTTTGTTTACATAGATTTATGAATCGTGCGAGATCGTGATAGCTGTGACCACTAAAAACATTTTTTTCTGTGACGGGAAAAAAGTTTGACATTTCATCTCTGTTGGCAGGTTATAAAATGTCACTTTTCATAAATTACTTTTTTCCCGTGGGAAAAAAGTGAGTACTTTTTTCCCGGACATATATCACATATATATACACTGTTGATGGCTTTTGTTGTTCCAAAATAAAGTCAATAATACCGTCTCCGAGAAAGAACTGCAAGTCCTTTTATCTTCCATTCGACTTCGCGGTTACGTATATTACTAAACAACCACTAAATTCGCAATTTTTTGAAATAAAATCACAGAATTAGACTGACAGAAGTGACATCAGATATTTGATTACTTCAAAACAACTTCAAAAGAATGATAAAGATGCCTACAACGCAGGTGTCCCTACTTAAAATTGCATGTCGATAATTTTCAGATTTCAAAATAATGTAATATCTTCTCAATATTGATTCGTCCTTTCGTCACAGAAAAAAATAGTGTATTATACACGGGAAAAATATTAGATTTTTAGCTCACACAACCTGGAGCTAAAATCTACTACTTTTTTCCCTTGTATAATAAATAACTATTTCTATTAGTTCTTCCTTATTATAAAACAAAAAACAAATTATACCAAATCACAACTGTCACAACATAATGCTTTTTCGAACATAGTTATAGCCTTTCCGAAATACTTTTTTCAAATAGTATAGATCTATATGTTTTTTTTTTTCGTTGAATGCAAACATTTTCTCCGAATTTAACAATGTATCATGAATAATATGGTGATATAATCATTATGACGTGAAATTGTATCATTTGTATTTCCTTTCATGAAAAAATACTTAAACCTAAATATTTCCTGAAGGTTATCGCCAGCTCAATTCGAATCGAATATTAAATTATTGAAATTTTACAATTCTGAAAATTTCACCGGAAAAAATCTAGTTCATGTGTAGCCAATCATAAGTTCATGTCAATAAACAAATGAAATATTCAACTTATTGTCACGGATGTAGCCACCCAGTATATAAAAGTTAACACACTTTCAGATCCAAGTCGTTCCAAATATTTCTTTCACCTCAACTAAATCGAAGACGTCGACAAAAAAACGCACAATTGGCAAAACAGAAATTATTTTTTTCAATATTTTTCCCAGTGTTTGTGTTACAAGGAAGTTCTAATTATCACAAGAAACCTATGAATATATGAAGAAAATTTCTGTGGTAGGTAATGGGTTAATTGCGTCTTCAAAAAATACGTACTTAAAGCAACCTAGTGAAATATGTTTATTATTCTGGAAGATTCAAATTTAATAAGGATCAAACTTAATCATCCATAATATGATGATTTTGTGACAAGTATTCCCATTTTTTACCTGATCTTTGGCTGATAGCTTGTCATTGAAAGTTTGGTACTGTTCATTGGCCAATTCAACTACTTCTTGATATCGCTCATTGAGCAAATTCAGTATCGCATATATTTTGGGCCTAGCGCTCAAAAACAAATCCGAGATCGTTGGGTTGCTGTGGAGCTTCTTTTGGCCATTGAATGTTTGATTCCACTGGTATTTTCCCATCAAAGGACATTTTGGATCTTGAAAATAAACTGCTGATCAATATAACCGCAGCAAGCACATTTTTACACTGAATTCAATATTGAGCTCGAGAAAATTTCCGGAAAAGAATTTGACTTCGTGTGGTACGTATTTGGTAAGAAAATTTAGCACCAGATTGTGTTTGGAAATTGAATAATCTTAGAATTTATTTGTTCATTTGATTTGCATACAGGTTCATGAATAAATTTAGTTTGGGTCGTAGTTTCGGTACCAATAATAGGTTCCTGATTTCTACCTATTATATTTGCATAAAAATACTAGTTTACTATGTAACATATTATATTCTTCCATGTTATATTAACTTCGGGATATTACAAGTGATGAGAAATTGTAATTTTGTCAATTAATTTTTCATAGGTATAGGTACGTACTAGTAGTAGTAGAGAAAGGGGAGGCGGTCGCCTAGCAAGTAGGCCCCAGTGAGCCTTTTTTGCCTACCTCTGCTGCACACGTCATGTGCACATAATATTTACTATTCCTTCTCCTAATTCTCCTATTCGAACCTCCGTGGATTTCTGATGAACATTGGGTGAATGCTGAGAACTGACGAGACAACGCCCGCCCATGATTCGTGCGCCGTGTTATCACGTTTACCGGTTCAAATGTCCTCTACCCAGCGAGCACAAAAACATCTCAGAGATGTTAAAAGTACGAGACATTGAACCTCCACTGCGATGTTCTGTTCACACATGAATAGAACTATTATAGAACAGCCAATGTCCGCCGCAGGCGGCAATTATCGAGATGTCCTTGATATGTCACAAAACTACCTTTTCCCTAGTTCTTTTTAATGCCTTTTCATGGACACAACAAAACATCTTCAACGCGTCTTGCGCACATTAAATCGCTGTAAAAAAAAACATTTTCGAGATACTTTTCTGAAGCCTTTTGTCAAAATGAATTTTTGCATTAGGATTCCATTTTCCTTGAATGGAAAAATGCATTAAAAATAGATTGAACATAAAAATATTTTCTTGATATGAAATTACCTTCTTAATCGGTTTCTGAGTAGTGCTTACTACACACAGACATATAATTGGAAATAGGTTTCCCAATTTTTGAAATGATCTCCACAATGCATAATTTTGCAACTGCGGAAAAGCTGTGTATTGATAAATTCGTACTTTTATATATTGATTACACTGAGGCACCGAACAACACATCTTGCATCTGATGGTCATTATTACAAACTAAATAAGTCTTCTGACACAATAAACTTCACCAAATTCCTTTCTGTTCGTTAGCAGCGTGATGTAAGCGTGACCGCTGCAAACGCGAATGCCAATTGCGAACAAGAAGAACAAAATCGAAAACAAATCAGAATTCATCGTATTGTGACGTAAGCATGAGACGTTGTGGTGAGGCAAACAAAGAAATGGCACAAAAGAACAAAAACAATTCTTTCAATATCCTTCAAAGACCTCTTTGGGAAGTGCATATTACGCCTCAAAAAAACATCCTCATGCCTACATTTCTAAAACATCCCAAAACATCCCAGGGATACCTCTCAGTAGGCAAACAAAGAAATGCCACAGGAGAACAAAAACAATACTTCAATATCCTTCAAAGACCTCTTTGGTCAGTGCATATTACGTCTCAAAATAACATCTTCATGCCAACATTTTCAAAACATCCCAGGGATGTTTGTGCTCGCTGGGTAGTGTGAATTAATTTAATTATTATTTACACAACACATAAGGGAAATTTTTAGACAATTGATTTTTTATCGCTAATTAGGAATCTTGCCAATACATAATTGAGGATTTATGTATTTATAAATAAATAATATTTCTGAAGTTCCCAATCGTATTTCAACATATGGCAACTATGCTATGGTCTGCTTCTACTTACGAAATCGTGACGTAAATTTAACTTTAAAAATATATGAAATTGAAAAGTATTTGAGTGAGATTCTAATAACGAAATGAAAAACAAGTAGTTCACTCGCCTATTCAACAAATTCGGATACTTTTTTTTAGGTATAGGACTAGAGTTCTCTCAGTAAGAAAATCGATCCATTACTATTGCAGAACACTATTGTATATGGAAAAAGAACAGGTCTGAAGATATATGAGAACAATAAATTGCAGGAGCAAATTGAAAACATGGGAAATTTTTCAGTAATTTGCAGAACTTTATACGTCTCCCTGTATAAACAGATGTCACTAAGATTTTTCATCTGTGATCTACTACTCATATACCTGAAATAGATTTTATTTTCAGAATGAAGAAAGCCGCTTCCGAATATTTAAAACGATCGCGATAATATTCAGTGTTGATTTTACAAAAATGTGCTTTTGTTATGTATGTGTTATAAGCATCTCAGTTCTCAGTTATGTGTTATCGAATTAACAATGCACTCGATGTGAACAACTTGAGTTCAATGCGAATTCATCATTTCACCTTCTATTCTTCCGCGATAGTCCATTTTGACTTGCAGCTGCTCGTTTTCCTCCCTGAATACACTCATCAACAGTGGCAATAGCTTGACTTTTTGTTTTCCCATCCAAGTTATCAAATACGGTATGCAGTGTGCATCTTCGCACAGATCTACTAGAGCTCCCAGGGTGATCATTTGTACAGGAAAGGGAAATACCTGGAAATTCAAACCCCCATACATTGAGCCCGAATCAAGTCGTCTTTTTTTCAGAAAGAAAATAAAATCAGCAATATATTTTATGGTGGTTACAAAATAAATATATTTTTGAAAACAAATTTCAATGAACAATCGGTAAGTATGTTCTCAAAGGAAAAAGGTCGCACCTGGAATATGTTCAACGTATTCATTGATAGAATTGGAACTATTATTTGACAGATACGATTTGATTGTTCGTTTGAACTCATTCATCTTTATATTTTAACTTGATGTGGCAGTGCATTATAAATAAGATTGAAATCTAAAGATTTTTTTGTGAAATAGAGAGCCTATATCTAGGAATTCTGATATTATCAGAATTCCTATAGTGTTATGATGGTGAATATCAGCCTGTGTAGTGAGATTAGATAAGAGCTCATGGATTTCAAGAAGTGACTTGTAAATATATAAAGACGGAAGAGTCATAATTTTGAATTTAGTGAATAATGGTCTACAGGTAGCTCTATATCCTCTACATTACCCAATATCCATACCGCTTTTTATTTGTTGAATAAAAATACCACATGCATCTGAGAATTACTCCACAGTATAATTGCGTAGCCCATATGAGACTGGAACAGTGAGTCATATACTGTGTTTAAAGTCTCAAAATTTGAAACATGTCTGAGATGGCGTAAAAGAAACAATGCACTTGACAATTTATGCCTCAAATGTTCTATAATCCATGATCCAAAGTGACACCGAGTAATTTCACCTCCTGTTTCTCTTCACCATGCTGACGAGTACGGAAGAGGAGCCTCTGAGACTTGTCATTATTCAAAATTCAGATTGTGAGCTCTGAACCATGTTTCAACTTTTTCGTCAATTTCTTTAGACCGATCTGATGAACCTTGGTAGTCTGGACTCGAACATATGAATGACATGTCGTCAGCAAAAAGGACACATTTAATGGGGGTCATGAAACTGCTTAGCTCATTGACATAAATGATACATGGAAGTGGCCCTAAGACAGAGCCTTGAGGCCTGATTAATTTCTTTAAATTCGGATGTATCATTATTGAAATGAACAGTCTGAAATCTATTTTTCAAATAAGATTTCAGAAGGGAAAGTGCAGTTCCTCTGATGCCAAAAAAAATTAACTCTTCCAGTAGAATATCATGAGCGACACAGTCGAAGGCCTTGATGATATCAAAACCATACTGTCTAACTACATAGGCCTAATGAATATCCCCAAGATATACAATTTTTCTGTCTTCTCATTATTAACAAGAAAATTTATACAGGGTGACATTGAAATAAATACAAATATTTGAACCCCTAAGAAAGTTCAACATATATTATCGAAAAGTACCAATAAAAAAATATAGTTATCAAAATAAATTTTATGGTGAGACCCCTTTTTCCACCAAACTATAGCAATTCTGACGTCACCCCTGTAGATATAAATTCCGTGCGGAAGGCACATTCACGCGGAGTTCATTCATTCAAATTGCCTTTAGTGTGGTACTTGATTTTTTTCCGATTTTTATTAAATTTTCAAGATGAAATTCCTCGTCATTTAGAAGAATTAGAAAAAATCTGATATCATGGGAATATGCGTGAGAATGTATTGTACTGATGTGCTGAATCTGATGTGCTGAATTATTATTCACCCATTTCAAAAACACCTCGTATACGAAAATTTGAACAAAATATAAGAAAAATATGTACACAGATGGTTCGAAAACCCCTCTTGGAGTTGGAGCCGGTGTGTTCAGCAGAAAACCGAAGACGAAAAATTCCGTCAATCTCGGCAAATATGCTACAATCTTTCAGGCGGAGGTATTCGCAATTGAATTGTGTGCTAGAGAGTTGTCGAATAAACCTCTAGTAAACAAAAATATCAGTATTGTATCAGTCAGGCTGCTCTTAATGCACTGAGCTCCACTGAGCTGTATTGAATCCCTAGAATGCCTGGGTGCTAACAACAGAGTCACTTATTTGCTGTGGGTGCCTGGACACCAGGGGGTGGAGGGTAACGAGAAAGCCGACATCCTCGCCAAACTGGGAACCGAATCTGTGTTCATAGGACCAGAACCATATTTTGGAGTCACCGCAAGTGCGGCAAAAACAACTATCTCGGGCTGGGCGGAGGGAAAAACACTCACGTAATGGTTTGAATTACCAGGATTAACCCATCCGAAGGCTTTCTTGCCTAAACCATCGGAAAAAATAACCAGGCATCAGATCCTAAAATGGAGCAGGGTTAACCTGCGAATTCTGACTGGACTGCTTACGGGACACTGTCGTCTAAGATACCACCTGGGAAGGATGGGTCTGAACCAACAAACGGACTGTCGGTTCAGTTGTGTGGAAGACGAAACGGCTGAACACATATTATGTTCATGCTGCTCTAGCTTAGAAAGACATGGAAAGACTAAGGTTCGACACATTTGGCTTTACCAATTTGGAACCTATCGATTTGAGACAAATCTCACCCAATTCAACCATGAACTTTGTAAAAAGATGTGGATTGTACATTGTACGGTGAACTGTAACCTCTAGGGGTGAGCCACAATAGACCCATCTGGGGTCGCAGTGGAGGGGAGGTATTCGCCCCACTCACATGGAACCTAACCTAACCTAGCCCTATTTAGATTGAAATTATTGGAGCCATTGGCATCCCAGTGGGCACCACAGCCAACAATATTGTGAAAAAAAGTACGCCACTGAATTTGTTTGGTGAATTTTCATTATTTTCAGATTGAGCAACTCAAAATTCAACTTTTTGGTCTCATATATTTTCTTCGTTTCCGAGCAAAAAGATTAGTGAGTTTTTCATTATTACCGCCAAAAATATAATCGACACTTGATATACTGGAATTTTAGAGAATTTAAAGTACCAAATTTCAACCAAATCGGTTCCAGGATATTCATGATATTTTATAATTACCGTTTTTTTGTCTTCAATTCCAACTCTCTGTATATAAAAAACGAAGCAACTCCGGACATATGTTCATAGGAACTTTTCTTCTAAAAATGACCTAACAAATCACCTCCTGCAGTTAGGAACCGTAGTTAGGAAACACCCTGTATAAATGAGAGGGAATAATGGCAGATTCAAATGATCAACATCAACATCATGTTTTCTTTTAGTCATCAGTTCAGTGGTTATAATCTTCCGTTTACCTTTTTTAAATTGCCTTCGGGTCTTTTTAAAACGCTTACTTGTACAATATCTAGCATCAAATGAACACCTCCTTCTTTTATGAAAACGGGCGATAAATTTTCAGACTTGACGATTATTTCCCAAATAAAATCCATCAGGCATATCAGGATCCTGTTATCGTAAACAGTTTCGACGGGTTCTGGGCTCAGGAAGCGTCTGAGGTACTTGAGTGCCAAGGGTACCACTTGAGGGTTCTCTCTGGTGGAGAATTGGCACAACATTGTTATTGCGGAGAATATTTTTTTCAGGCATTGTTGAACCGGATCGTTGAAGAATGGATATGTTAGAAAGTTCTCACACAAACCTAGAAAACCAGGTACCTATATACAGGGTGGCCCACGGTCGATGGTACCTTAGACGTATACGGAAAACGGTACATTGGATTATCCTGAAAATTGGGTTACTCTAATAAGCGTTTGTGATATAACGATTCCAAATATTTTCAGCGAAGCAGCGTTGCCACTTTTACCAAAAAGTATCATCATCTTTGTTATTTCAAATGGAACACCCTGTATTTTATTGCGTTTTTAGATTCTTCTCAAAGAGCTGATTTCATCAATGTATCACACTTGGGGTCTAGCAGGAATTATTACAGAGATATAGGGTGTTCAAAATCGAGATTTTTGAACTTTAGGATTTTTTTGTGTCGAAACTATTCATCATTGGCCAAAACGGCTTACATGTCCCTTTATTAACTTTCGATTAACTATATCTACCGACCTTTAATTGGAAAAAATACAGGATGGTCCAAGATTCAGAATTTTTATCACCCAGTATTTGTTCCAATTGAATGCCAGTAGATAGTGAATCAAAAGTTGAGATAGGGATAGAGCCGTTTTGATCGATAATGAATAGTTTCGACACAAAAAATTCCTGAAATTGAAAATCTCGATTTTGAACACCCTATATCTCTGTAATAATTCCTGCTAGACCCCAAGTGTGATACATTGATGAAATCAGCTCTCCGAGAAGAATCTAAAAACGCAATGAAATACAGGGTGTTCTATTTGAAATAACAAAGATGATGCTACTTTTTGGTAAAAGTGGAAACGCTGCATCGCTGAAAATATTTTGAATCTTTAGATCACAAACGCTTATTGGAGTAACCAAATTTTCAGGATAATCCAATGTACCGTTTTCCGTAACGTCTAAGGTACCATCGACCGTGGGCCACCCGCTCTTCATTGTACAAAATTGTTATTTTTTTTCTGAAAACAAAAATTATATGATATAGTTCTGAATTGTAGAATCGATAGATAATAAATAATAATGCAGAAATCCGTGCCTTCAAAATTGAATACTAATTTTTATTGATGTTATAAATGTCGAATATATTATCAACAGTAATATACCAAGACCATGACAAATAGCCGACTATTATTTTCACATATTATACTAACTTATATGATTACCGGAAACTTTTTCGAGAACACGAACATTTCCAAAAATTCTACAGAGTCTAAAACTAGGGAAAATTTCCTAAATATTCGTGTTCGAGAAAGAACTTCCGGTTTTGGATTGGAGCTAGAGTGGTATTCGCTAAGAAAATTTCACACGGAAATATTATCAACAAAATACTAGGGTTAGATCACGCTAAAGAAAATACAAAATACCGACTTTAGTTACAAAAAATATTAATAACGCAGCTGGTGGTGGTTCAAACCATTATTATTGACTAACTTTATTCAACTTAAGTTGGTGGAAACATATTTTGTTACAAGTTTGTTGTTTGGTTGAATAAAACACAATTAACTTTCTTTATAGTTACACAAAATAATAAAAACCAAGTCGATTTAAGTAGCTCAATTTCACAGTTTTTTACAAATTTATCTTACTAAAGTTGGTAGAAATATATTTTCTCAGAAGAACCTCGAAGTGGTATTAAGTAATAATGAAATTTGCTCAGGTATAATATTATCAGGTTAAATGAAGTATAATTGAACGACTTCAGTTAGATGAAATAACGAAAAATAAGTCGAAAATAGTTAAATCTCTCAGTTTTTCACAAATCCAAGTTTCTAAAGTTGGTAGAAATATATGTTCCTATATTCTTACAAGGAACGTATATCAACTTATAAAATGAATTCGGTATAATCTGTAGTTAAATTTAAATGCCATTTTACCCATAAACGTCAAAAAAGTTCCAGTTTAACTTCGTGCTCCTTCCCCAAGAAGAGGAAAAATATTCCGGAAATTTGTATAGTTGCTATGGTAAAGATACAAAATACAGTAAAAGCCTGTATAACAGTGAAATTTCCACTGATAATATCCCAAGGCTATTAATAATTTCAAAATAATTTGTTGCATACTCTCGAAACCGAAACTGAGGGAAGTTGAGACAAATGATAATAGTCGAGAAATATTCAATAATAAACTTTTTTCATTGAGTTAATGTCAAACTATGCCATTACCATAGTGACTCGATTTTTCAACAGTGATGACAATTTACCTGGGCACTTATCAGTTGAATGTTTGTCTGATTGGCTAATACTAGTCACTTGGTCACAAATACGCGTAGATATGATACGTTCAAATTACATGAAAAAAAATAGTCTTCATAATTCTATCGATGGTACCTTGTATTTTGGTGATTTGATTAGACCATATGAACATTAATAATCTGAATAACTTCCGAGCTCTAACTCTGTAGCTCGAAAAAAAGGAGGTCCTCAATGGGCTTATATCACAAAAAAAAATTATTTCATAATTCGATAGAACTCACCCAAACTAGCTCACCACCGCAAACCGTTTCTTGCTGTGAGCTCCCTACATTTTATAAAAAATTATTGAAATCCCTGATTTTTCGGACCTCTGAAAACGAGGCAATGATGTGACGTCAAAACCCTGATACTGAAACAAGACTATTCCAGACAGAGATGAATGATACATGATTTCTGACAGAGTGAATTAGCGCGAAATCACAGTTGAAAGAATGAATATATCAGTTGCCTCAGTCTCCGTCGGGCGTTTGGTATTTTCTTTTAACTATGGCGAGATGAGGTTTCTACGTCATAAGAGGGTCCGTTTACAGAAGGTACTATTATCATGTCCAAGAATAAAACATTCCTGTTGATTTTCCGATCGAATTATGTCGTCAATCATTATTTATGTATAAAAGAATCATTATTAACATTCTTCGTATTGGTATATTTTTGCGAGAAATTGTCAACTTTCTGATGTTTCAACATTATAACATTGGTCGGTATGTAGTTTTTTCTGGAGTAACCAAAGTTTTACTTATCTGTAACTTACTGAGCAATATGCTGATACCATCATTGTACAGTATGGAATTTATGATAATCCCTTTGTGATCTAACCTTAGCATATAATTGATGGCACCCAAACATTTCACTAGAATTGTGAGACCTTCTTCTGTTAAGTTGTTTACTTTCATGCACTCCAACAAACTGAAAAAGAAATCGTCGAGAACATTTTAATATGTACCTTTCTGAGTAACGGGCAAAAAACTGAAAAAAAAGTGCAAACATTTCGATATTTTGCATTTCCAAACTTCAGATTCGGATTCAGCACCCCCAAAAAACCCTTGAGTAACAGGCAAAAGAGTACACTTGTGAAAATTCGCTAAATTTTGACAAAGCTTCTGCAGGAGATTACTTCAAAATTTCTTTTTTCATTCCATATATGTACAGGGTGGACCAAATTGGACACTTATAAAGGGGAAGTCCTATTCCCGTACTAGAAACACATGACAAACTCAATGGGGAAAACTGCATATCGATATCTATCTTCGTTTCAGAGTTACAAGGTGTTTTTCGAAAATGAGTATTTTCGAAAAGTGACTGAAACTCATTTTTTTGTCAAAAATTCTTCGTTTCCATGAAAACATTTTACATCATCATCTTTATTATTCCCAAGAAACAATTGACGTATATATGTTTATAACAGGGTAATGTATAATTGTATAACATCACATTCAAAATATAGTATTTATAGGTATAATAATTATTCTAGTAATTCTCATAGTTTGAGCAGATCCTTGTTTCAATATGTTTGTTGAGTTCTTTCTTGAATTTTTTGGTATTGATATTTTTTTCAAGTCTTGTTGGCAATTCATCTTCTCAATTCTCTTGCCAAATTCAGATTTGATTTTAATGAGGGAAAACATGTCTGTTTGTCTAGTTGAATATGAATGTATATTAGCATTAATTTTAAAATTCAAATTGGAATGTTTATAATTGTGTTTGACTAAATGAAAAAATGTTGATATTTTGAATTTATATATTGATTGAAGATCTAATATTTCATTTGGTTTATAAAGGTTTCTTGTTGGTTCCAAATAATCCTCAGGCACTGAAATCAGTCACCATATACCTAGTTTCAAAATAGAACTTTTCCTTCAAGAAGGACAAGATATAGGAAGGCCGATTTCAGTGCCTCAGGAATGATTCTTATCACAAACTCAATGCTTTGCAGTTCATCAGAACATACAATTTTCACCAAAAAAAAAACTTTGTAGCCACTTTTCAAAAATGTCCATTTTCGAAGAGCACCTTGTAACTCCGAAACGAAGACAGATATCGATATGCGATTTTCACCATTGAGTTTTGCATGAGAATCGACCATCAGGCACAAACATCAGTTTTCTTCTATCTACACCTTTTCCAGATGTATTTCAGGAAGCGTCAATTCAATTTCAGAAAGCTTCAATTGTATTTCAGAATAGTCAATTGTATTTCAGAATAGTCAGTTCAATTTCAGAAAGCATCAATTGTATTTCAGAATAGTCAATTTAATTTCAGAAAGGGTCAATTGTATTTCAGAATAGCCACTTGTATTTCAGAAAGCATCAATTGTATTTCAGAATAGTCAATTGAATTTCAGAAAGCGTCAATTGAATTTCAGAAAGCAACCAGGTTGTATAGTTAGTAGAACTCCATGTAAGAATGCATAGGATGTTCAGTGCTTCCTGTAGAGATGTTTTCAATTTATTCATCCCCATTTTTTTTATGTATCTTCAGGTACCTATGTACTTTTTGATGAACAGATTACAGAATTTTTCAGGGGACCATCAGAGATAAACTTCATTCTATTGCTATGAAAAAGTTCTGATTTTTACATGTTTGTCCAATCGGAAGTGACTTATAATAAGTTGCCTGGCAGGAGAACACCCCGTGGAAAGTGTCTGGCAATTGTACATTCTCTTTCATGATAGGATCCGATTGAACATAAAAAGATCAGCTTTTGTTGAAATGATGTTTTTGACAGTTTTTTTTTTGTACTTTCAACACCCGGTGTCTCTTGAAGATTTTCAACCCCCAAAACGATTCCACCAAATAAGGTAATAACACACATAGAAAATATCAACCTTGTTGAAATGGCGTCTGGCGGTCGCTGGCTTTCAGTCTATAGAGAACGATTTCTGAAATTCAATTGACTATACTGAAATTCAATTGACTATACTGAAATTCAATTGACTATAGGTACTGAAATACATCTAATGCTTTCTGAAATTCAATTGACGCTTCCTGAAATTCAAATGATACATTCTGAAATACAATTGACACTTTCTGAAATTCAATTGACTATTCTGAAATACAATTGATGCTTTCTGAAATTGAATTGATTATTCTGAAATACAATTGACGCTTTCTGAAATTGAATTGACTATTCTGAAATAAAATTGAAGCTTTCTGAAATACAAGTGACTATTCTGAAATACATTCGACGCTTTCTGAAATTGAATTGACTATTCTGGAATACAATTGACGCTTTCTGAAATACAAGTGACTATTCTGAAATTAAATGGACGCTTTCTGAAATACATCTGGAAGGTGTAGTTAGAGAATAGGACTTTCCCATTAATAGTGAAAAATTTGGTCCACCTTGTACACCCTCTGATTATCTTAACGATACACAAACAGCTTTATCGATATCGTGTTAACACCCCGAAAATCTGAAAGAGAAAATGACATGGCCCCCATAAAAATATCGCTAAAACCTACGATATTGAACATTTTTAAGAGGAATCATCGACTAGGATGTGAATTTTTTCCAGCTATATCTCTAGGCCAGGATGAACAGAAGATGGTGTAGAAACTCCTATCAAATCCCATCTACTGTTTTTCGGACAAAGTTCTTGACCTATACGGCCTACTTGACAGAAGGATTCTAATCAGTATTGCGGAATATAGGTCGCATTTTACCCGTTAGATGGCGAAATCTCAACCAAAATTCATTGATTTGAGGTTATGTTATAAATGTTATATCCTTAGATGTATGATCTAAGGTTATATCCTTAGATCATACAGGAATGTTATATCTGGTGCAAGCGGTGTGTAAGCGCCGTTTTCTGTTTTCTGTCATGAAAGAAATCTTTAAAAAGTGTCGCCATCTTGCAGACAACTGAGAACTAATATGCCATTATTGCGGAATCTGGGGTCAAGCGTTTTGGAGAAACAAAATACACTGTGATTACACCATATTCTATCCACCTTGCATTGAAATTTTTTTATCAATATATCTCACCGCACCTGTACTATCGAAAGATTTTTTTAGTGCACTGGGAATCAAAAATGGCTGAAATTGGGAAATCAATGCTGACGGGTTTATGAATTTTCAGTATTTACAGAAAGGCTGCATAAAATGAAAAATCGAAAATTACAATCAATATCTTCGGCAAGTAATATATATGTTAAAAGAAGACTGCAATTTTTATATTCAAGTATAATTTGTGGTTTATTGATTTATTTATTTATTGAAAATGTGACTTCCTGTCAGAATCAAGTTCTGGTATAAGGAAGTATAGTAAACAATAATATACCTGAAACTATACAATTATAGGGATTCCCTTTCGTGCGCTCCAATCGATAAAAAAAACAATCAATTTCAATATGAATAAAAAGTTGAAAAAAAAATCATATATTTCGTTCAGAAATGATAGATTTTTCAAGTTGGTATTTGAATTTCATTGTATTTCTGCAAATTTTTATATTATCTGGTAATTTGTTTGTTTTTTGGACTTAAAAGAATTAGCGATATCAAAATGAATGAATTTCATTGTTTCGTGTTGAAATAAAATTGGATTTCAATCTTTTATTTATGATATTATACGTAATTTTCATATTTTCAATTTTGAACATTTTTTCTAATTAGAATGATTCAGTTATTTTATATAATTGATTTGTTGGTGTATCATATATGATGGTAAACGATACAGTACTTTCAATGTCCTTTTATATAACGCAGATATTCTTTTTAAAATTGTTTGTTGAACAGTACCCCAAACATTTATCAAATATTTAATACGACTAAGTTTATGAGAATATAACATTATATTTGCAACTTTTTTATCCAGCTTGAGACATCTCTTAGGGCTCCAATAATATGAGATAATTTTTTCGCCGTAACTCATTTCAGAAACCTTATTTTTTCGTAAGCATATTCGAATATTTTATTTACATATGTGGTCCAGAATTTTCAATGAATTCTTCCTCCAGAAACGGTACCAGTTTCTTCAAAACATCCCAGCAAAATATTTGAATGACGCATCCGTGGGCTTTCGGAAATTGCGCCGGATGACCAGGTCTGCTTATAATTCGTAAGAGTCGATAGATTATTCGCACTCTCTCTAAGATCTGGAAAAATGGTGCACATATATTTCTACAGGGTGTACGGAAATTGAAGGGCAATATATCGCAATATTTCACCAGCCAAAGTCGTACCCAGCGAAATGACGGCCTAAATCCGACTTAAAAAAAATTCAAATGGCAGTTAGTTTTTTTCTTGAACCAGCCCACGCAAAAAAAAATCCTCTGAGCACGGCCTTGTAAAACAAAATCTAGAAAATGGGTGGAAAGTTTCCTTTATGAATTATAAACTTATCTATCATCAGGTGTTTCAATATGATGTTCTGAAGATAATACTTATGAATATTTTCGAAACGTTGAAAGTTGTTACTATCAGTGAACTCTCCCTGTATGTTGTACAAGGCAATTCAGATTAGGTAATCTTGAAAACAATAATTAGGAATCAGTAATATGATGGTTCAATTAGAAGAAATATCGGAGAACGTTTTTAATTTTTTGTCAAACATATATTGAAACTTGTCTTCCTCGCCAAAAAGATCCTATCTTGTATCTCCTATATAGAATGTACTGAAGCTCGACTGTAGCATTGTTTTCGAAGAAAATGTTTCCGAAAATTACATCCATTAAATATCCATCCTTTCCAATTCGAAAAAAAATATATTTCGGCCATTTTCGACAATTTTCCTTTGACAAATGTTTGTTGTTTGCCATGAAATATAATATAAATATATTATGTGTCATTCAAGTGCAAACAGGAAACAAAGGCGAAACTGTTCTGAAATGGTTCGGATCTATTGACATAAATTAGCAAAATCTCATTATTTTATAGCTTATCTGCTATACAGTGTGTCCCACTTACCATGCTCACCATGGGTATCTTTTTAACGGTGCGAGATACGAGGTCGGTTAAATGATACCAAATGTGGAGTTTGTCAAGGCCAACTATAATACGAAAAAATATTTTGATAAAATCTATTCGTTTTTGTTTTATACGCAAAAAACAGATTTTGATCATTTGGTAACTTCTTCATTTATGAAAATATTCAAATAGGAATTTCACATTCTCATGGCAGTTTTTCAAAGTGATTTCGAAAAAAATATGAAATTTATACCAACTCTTCCAGAATTTGAGATATTAGCACCAACTTTAGTTTTTCAAATGTAGGTCATGGCTCACTATGACTTAGTAACAAATAACTTTTTTTTCGCTTACAGATGATATGTCGCAGTAATAGTTTTGTGTTGATAACAACGGAGTTATCGTCATTTATACAAAAACAAAAAATTCATGGAAGCCGCCATCTTGAATTTATAAATTTTAACAAAAATATCATGATCTCCGCCCTCAAAAACCCCCATTTACCAATTTTGAATGGAATCGGACCAAATCTTGTCCGTCATCTTGGAGCAGCCATTTTTTTTATTTCAACAAAAATTCCATAACTCCGATTAACTTGAAATTCGGCAGGTGTTCATAATTTCGGTGACATTACATTATGGAATTCTTGTTGAAATTAAAAAAAATGGCTGCTCTAAGATGGCGGACAAGATTTGGTCCGATTTCATTCAAAATTGGTAAGTGGGGGTTCTTGAGGTCGGAGATCATGTTTTTTTTGTTAAAATTTATAAATTCAAGATGGCGGCTTCCAAATAATTTTTTGTTTTTGTATGAATGACGATAACTCCGTTGTTAACAACACAAAACTATTGCTGCGACATATCATCTGTGAGAGAAAAAAAAGTTATTTGTAAATAGGTCATTGTGAGCTATGACCTACATTTGAAAAACTAAAGTTGGTGCTGATATCTCAAATTCTAGGAGAGTTGGTATGAATTTCATATGTTTTTCCAAATCACTTTGAGAAACTACCATGAGAATGTGAAATTCCTATTTGAATATTTTCATAAATAAAGAAGTTACGGAGGAGACATGAAAATGATCAAAATCTGTTTTTTGCGTATAAAACAAAAACGAATAGATTTTATCAAAAATATTTTTCACATTATAGTTGGCCATGACAAACTCCACATTTGGTGTTATTTGACCAACCTCGTATCTCTCACCGTAAGAAAGATACCCATGGTGAGCATGGTAAGTGGGACACACTGTAGAATGAAATACGTTATTTTTTACATAATTATCCATTTCTGAAAAATCTCCTGAAACAGGTCGATTTTAAGTCTCAATTTGGCACAATTGAAAGTTGGACATATGGGGTTATTCACGTTTGAGTTATGATGTCCGCGACAATTTTTGCACCCTATACATACAGTGTGACCCACTTCTAATGGACACATCCCTGTATCTTACGTAATCGTTGGGTACGGATCCTGAAATTCGCTGGAGCGAGAGATATACCAAAAATGCACTCTATGACCACAGATTAACAACTATGACCAAGTGGGGTCATCTTCAGTGATATACACTGCTCACCAACAGTCATGGAACCACCCCAATTTCCGGAAAGTGATATTAGGAGTCGAAATAGGTCGAAAATCACTTCAGATTCGGAATCAGGACGCCCAATTCTCTAACTATTCATATTTTTCCTGGAAAATTTTCGGTTCTGAAGAATTAAATTTTGTCGCAATTTTTACGGAAGCACCCCCGAATCTTACGTAATTGACTTTATCTTTGGACTTTCTCTTCCTACTGCAAATTTCAGAACCCTACCTCAATAATTACGTGAGATACGGAGGTTCTTCCATGAGAAGTGAAGACAATATTTAATTTTTCTGAACTGAAAATTTTCCAGGAAAACTAAGAATAGTTAGTGAATTGGGCGTCCTGATTCCGAATCCGAAGTGATTTTCAACTATTTTGACTCCTAATATAATTTTTCGGAAATTGGGTTAGTTTCATGGTTGTTGGCGAGCAGTGTATATCACTGAAGATGACTCCACTTGGTCATAGAGTGCATTTTTGAAATATTTCTCGCTTCAGCAAATTTCAGGATCTTTACCCAACGATTACGTAAGATACAGCAGGGGTATATTATTATATTTTTTCTGTGACGGGAAAAAAGTTTGGCATTTCATCTCTGTTGGCAGGTTATAAAATGTCACTTTTCATAAATTACTTTTTTCCCGTGGGAAAAAAGTGAGTACTTTTTTCCCGGATATATATCACATATTGTATATACTCTGTTAATGGCTTTTGTTGTGCTATAGTTCCGAAAAATGAGTCAATAATACCGTCTCCGAGAAGGAACTGCAAGTCCTTTTTTCTTCCATTCGACTTCGCAGTTTCGTATATTACTAAACAACTACTGAATTCGTAATTTTTTAAAATCAAATCACAGAATTGAACTGACAGAAGTGACATCAGATATTTGATTACTTCAAAAGGATGGTGAAGATGTCTATAAAACGCAGGTGTCCCTACTATAAAAAACTTGAAATTTCACGTCGATAATTTTCACATTTCGAAATAATGTAATATCTTCTCAATATTGATTCGTCCTTCCTTCTGTCACAGAAAAAAATAGTGTATTATACACGGGAAAAATATTAGATTTTAGCTCACGGTTTTTTGTCTCCCTCCGCTACGCGTCGGGAGACAACACAACCTGGAGCTACAATCTACTACTTTTTTCCCTTGTATAATAAATAACTATTTTGAAATCATCAAGAATATACAGTGTGACCCACTTATTCTAATGGAACCACCCCTGTATCTTACGTAATCGTTGGGTAAGGATCCTAAAATTTGCTGGAGCGAGAGATATACCAAAAATGCACTCTATGACCAAGTGGGGTCATCTTCAGTGATATACACTGCTCGCCAACAGCCATGAAACTACCCCAATTTCCGGAAAATGATATTAGGAGTCAAAATAGGTCGAAAATCACTTTAGATTTGGAATCAGGACGCCCAATTTACTATTCAAATTTTTCCTGGAAAATTTTCAGTTCGGAAAAATGAAATTTTGTCGCATTTTTTATGGAAGGACCCCCGTATCTCACGTAATTATTGAGGTAGGGTTCTGAAATTTGCCGGAGGAAGAGAAAGTCCAAAGATAAAGTCAATTACGTGAGATACGGGGGTGCTTTCGGCGGTTTTCGTTCGGAAATTAGACCGTAAAACGTGATTTTTTTGTACAGGTCGATGAAAAATGAATTAATTCAATACTTTACGGAAGCACTGTGTAGTGGAATATCTGCTGGAAAACACATACGAAAAAATCTAGGATTAAAATTCAATTCGAAATTGATTTTTCTTCAAGATTTACCATGGACTGAACAACCGACCCTATAAGAACCAATTTTTGGATCCATATATAAATAGGTCGTTTCCTATAATGGTATGATATTAGTTTCAAGTGAGTTTTAAGTGAGTGAATATATAAAATGCATATTCCTTACCCTCAGACCGCCTTCTAATTTAGCTATTATAGGAATGCTTATGAGTATGAGTTTAATATAATTGTAATCTTCATCAGTTGCCGTCTGGTTAATTGATGTGAAAGAGGTCCTTGGTTCACGAAAACTGTATAATTTACCAACATTTATAACTATGTCTGAAAAAAGAAAATAATAAAATTCATAACACTTTTGCAACGGCAAATATTACTATATATGTACAGCGTGTCTCACTTTAAACGGTCCCCTCTTCTATATCACAGCTATTAGTCGTGCGATTCGTAACAAATCTGGATCGGTATGAATAATTATTTTGGGCTTTTTATATTGAAATAAAAATAATTGGTCAATTTTTATGAAATCATATTAGAATTTTTTTGCGAGAAAACTAAATGCATACTCCTCGTGCTTTCAAAACTCATTATGCCAAAAGTCACATCATTCTGAATCAACATCAGGATTGGTTCAATTCTTTTCATTTTCAGCGTCGAAAAAATGGTGAATTCAAATTAACTGCAAATTTTGGATCGTTCAATATGGCTCTGGTAGGAAGTAAATCATGATTTGATTTGAAGATTCAAGATATACCTACTATTTTATGTTGAACTCACCGTTTCCAAGTAAATAATTATTACGTTCGCAAAAATGCTGTTTAGATGTGCTTATTTTTTTTTGAACCCTCTATAGTCTATAGAATTCATATGAAAATCCACATACGGGAGTTTTAAACGATGAAGAACAATATTATGAGGTTAGTCTTCCTGAAAAAAAAATCTAATATGATTTCATATAAAAATAACCCCTTTTCATGATATCAAAAATGTACGACACTGTCGAAAAACGGGTCAAATTGATATAGTTATTCATACCGGTCGAAATTTAGTAAATATCACACGCTAATATAGCTGAGATATAGAGGGGGGGCGTTTTAAATGAGATATATAAGAAACAAAGAAACGTTCAGTACGTATGATGTAGAATGAAGATAAATGACAAAATTTATTTTACTTAAGTATTATATACTTCTTTGGTTTTTACAGTATAATGCCACATATAATTCCCATAGGGAATAATGACTATTGGTATTAATATATTCCTTATTTCCTCCTATTCTCTAAGGGAATAATATTTGGCATTATGTATTCTACAACTTACATCATATATGTTCGTCCTAAATGAAAATTTTAAAATGAATAGCCTGACTTATGCAAATCTCACCTTCTGCTAGACCGCTTACAACAAATTCTGATTCTGGAAAAAGGTTCATCATTCTCAAGATAAGAGCTGCAACATTGTTTCTATTTAGATAGCCCACCTGGGATTGAGAATAAAATTGGAATGCATACTGAAGGTTCCTGTGAACAAATTTTGTGACAAATTTCAAGTTGTCGGAATGTCAGAAATCAGAAGTTCCAGGGGTGGCCTGATTATCGTGGACACCTGGTATAATAGTTTTTCAAAATTTCAATATAACTCTCATAGTCTATCCAAAGTCAATTGGAGCATCTCTCGCACTGCGCAGCGTCGGCGGGTTTGAAGTTCCGTTTGAAGTGTACTGAGGAAAATTTCTATCAGTCATAGTTAGAAATCGAGTTAATCCAGCAAGAAACTATAATAGCATATAGGGGACAAGCGAATAATCACCTATGATTATGAAGTCTATTTTGTTTTTTTTTGATTGATTGATTGATTGATTGATATGCTTTATTGTCCAAAGAGTATAATATCTTATTGACAAAGTTACAATTTCCTAAAACTACAAATATATAATATCTATGTATTTTTTTAAACACAGTGTCACACATCCATATACACAATAAAAATTATAATTATTATCACAGTGAAGAAAATAAAATAAAAGATACATCATCAATATCACAGATTAAAAACATTCTCCAAAAAATTCTTGCAGACTATAATACGGTCTTTCACTGAGGAATTCTTTCACGGCCTTTCTGAAATGAGCATTATCCGTGGTTTTCAGATAATTTGGTAGGTGATTATACATTTTTAGACCATTGTATATGACTGAGTCCTTAACGAGGGTTGAGGTGGGTATAGGCAGTTTGAGGTGATTTGTTTGGCGGGTAATATAATGAGAATTTGAACTCGAAAATGTCTTTTTATGTTTATTGATAAGGCAAACCGTTTCTAATATGAAAATGGCATAAAGCGTCAGGATTTTATCTTTAATGAATAAAGGTTTGCAAGAGACTCGTGGTTTGACCTTATTTAAGTATCTTATCGCTCTCTTTTGTAAAATAAAAACTGGCTTCAAATGAGTATCAGCACAAACTCCCCAGAAAGGTATTCCATATCTCAAGTGTGATTCTATCAATGAAATATATACAGTTTTTGCTGCAGAAGATCCTAGTTCACTAGAGGTTATCCTAACAGCATAACAACCGGAAGACAGTTTTTTATTGAGCGTTGCAATATGGTCTTCGAATTTCAGTTTATTGTCTATTGATACCCCAAGAAATTTTGTGCATATTTTGTTCGTGATCACACTGTCATTGGTGCCTAAAGGTATGTCGTCTATACTACAACGGAAGGATACTACATTGGTTTTGGATATATTGAATGATAAAAGATTACAATCACACCACTCTTTGATCTTTTGAATGTCTGAACAAATGGAATTATGAAGATCGCTTGCATTATTTGCACGCCATAGTATTGTAGTATCGTCCGCGAATAGAGTGAATCTTCCTTTTATATCAATAGATGTCAGATCATTAATGTATAACAAAAAAAGCATCGGTCCCAGTACTGATCCTTGAGGTACTCCAGTATCGATTTCAGCTACATCCGACTGAGTAGTAGTTTTAACAATTTGGCTTCTACCTGTTATGTATGATTTGAACCATTTGTGATTATAACCCACCTGCGATTATTACACTGAGGAAAATTGTGCTATTAGAGTTTTTGATATATTAGATATTTCTTATTGCTACCATTACAAGAAATCATATTACCGTTATACATTTTCGAATAGAAGCAGCACCTTCAAATCCTATATTAGCAATAACGACTTTGCTGAAAGTGAATTTCCTGCCACAGGAAGGTATACTGCTGTAGCTATCAGGCAGCCACTCTGGGACAGCATGATTTTTTTTATAATTGTCTTGCTGAACTACTACTAGTGAGTTATATGCTTGTGGCTGCGAGGTTCATCGCATATAGAACTGCACTCACTTCCAATAATACAACTGTCAGTCTGCCACGAAAATGATATTTGACGAACCAACTTGGGGTTATTTAGCGCCTACTCATCGTTATTCGATATTTCGCTGATTTGTCCCCCTCTATGTAAACATTTGTCAGACATCTTGCTTGATCAATAATTCACAGATGGGCTCTTGATGCAAACCCATGTACAGGACGACAATATCTCTGAAACCATTCAAGATATCGCTGTGCGGTTTGGACTAGTCTATTTTGATGTTTTTCAAGTTTATTTTGACTTGTTCATCTTCTCACTTGAACTTCCGGTTCTACCGGAAACAGACAAGCAATAATCCAGGTATAGGGCAACTTTTTTATTTCATTGAATCACCCTGTATCAAGAGTATCAAGGTACCTACTTTTCGTCATTTTATGAACCACTAGTCAAAAAATACTTAGCCACCCCTGTTATAATTAACCCGAATTCACTGTTGTGATGCTATATTCACAAGAATGTCACTCGAATATAGTATATAGGTATGTCATGGTGACTATAGATTCTAATTAGAATTGGAAAGTAGTGCTTTCATAGTGACAAAGGTCCACATATTTCAGTTTCACAGAACTATAATGATTGAAATATATTGCTAGTGGTGAACAAAATTTAATATACACCTTGGTAGTAAAGAATATTATTAACACGGAACCTTACACCCCTCGGCTGAAGCCTCGGTCCCTGGATAGTAATGATATTCTTTACTACCTTGGTGTATAAATAACTATTATCTCACCCTATATTCGTATGAGTCATAGTGAGGTAATATTATGAATTTACTTACCATAGAGAAAAGCGATCAATATTATTCAAACCATCCAAATCATGCCTGTGTTTTTCCAGATGATCAAGTAATGAGCAAATAATCACAAAAGTGTCTTCGAAATGATTTATTTTATTTTCAGCGTTAGGTCGTTCAGGTTTTGTAACAGGAAAACGTTGTCTCCATGTAGGTTCAATTCTTCTCAGAAGGGAATTCAAAGCGTCAGTTTTTATAATTTTATCTAAAAAAAGCAAAATATCTGCAGACAGCACCAGATATTCCATGAATATTCATAGAATTGAAATATGGGAATAATCATGAACATGCCAGGGATATACCATGAATGTGGCTGGTGGAAAAGAATGGATATATTCAACGAATATTACACAAGGAATATTCCCTATATATTAAAAGTGTAACTACAATATTTTAGAAATATTGATCGAGATAAGATTCGGAATGTTCCAGGGGTAATACGTGAATGTTCCTGAAATATTCCACTGATCATATACATAAATATAAAAAATATACTGACCCAAGATGGGCTCGAACTCGTGACTTCCCCAGATTGGCAGAGCTCTCAAATATATATTTATTGATATCTTTAATTACTTCACATTGACAATTTCGAACAAGAACAAACACATTTTAGAATGTCAGTAGATAGTGAATCAAAAGTTGAGATAGGGACATGTAAGCCGTTTTGATCGATAATGAATAGTTTCGACACAAAGAACTCCTGAAATTGAAAAATCACGATTTTGAACACCCTATATCTCTGTAATAATTCCTGCTAGACCCCAAGTGTGATGCATTGATGAAATCAGCTCTTCGAGAAGAATCTAAAAACGCAATGAAATACAGGGTGTTCCATTTGAAATAACAAAGATGATGCTACTTTTTGGTAAAAGTGGCAACGCTGCATCGCTGAAAATATTTTGAATCGTTAGATCACAAACGCTTATTAGAGTAACCGAATTTTCAGGATAATCCAATGTACCGTTTTCCGTATATACGTCTAATATGGTACCATCCACCGTGGGCCACCCTGTATATCCACCCTCTAGGTACGCACGATATTCTTCGAACATTATAGGAGTTTCTTCTCGTGCACTCCAAGAGATACAAAAAATTATGTGTTAGCATTTTACATAGATCTTTTAGAGTCAACCTGTGTATATATAGTATTTTAAATTTTTCTGTCGATTTTGTCGAAGTCAGGCGCATTGAATGAGAGCCTGATGAGACACCCTGAATATACCTATACTCACTTTTTACTAAATATTATTCTCGAATTATTTCTTGAAATATTTTATGAAAGGTTAACTAGTAATAACTCACGAGTATTCATACAGTTTTTTGTCAATATGATTAGCAATGGTAGGAGATCAGGATAAATCTGGTCATCTGCACTAGCGAGCAGTTGTCCCAAAATTTCTGGTAACTGGCTATTCCCAGCAGCCGATCTACGAAATTCTAAAGAAGCATACCACTTTTGTTCTGCATGATTTTTCAAGAGATTGGATACCACCGTCAACACAGATTTTCTGGTGTCTTCTTTCATAGTGACGAGCAAACATCCTGAAAATATCTGTGATGGTATCAAAAATGAAAATGTGTAACAATAAAAGCCTTATTACCAAGAAATGAAAAAAATTCTTGCATGTCCGGTACAAAGGTAATGATATCCGAGGACAGTGTTAATAAAGGAGGGATACTGCAGATATTCAATAATTGTTCCAAACATTTTTTAAAGCTATCATTATCGTGGTGATTCTCAGACAAGACCCCAATAGTTTGAATAATATACGCTAGATCTCTAATTAACTGTGGAGACGTCAAGGAGAATGAGTTGAATTCATATCTGAGAATCTATTGCTAAAAGGATACAAATCCATTTTGCGATATCTGAATGAAATTCAGTATCATTCCTGTATGTCTGTCTTTATCATTTTTCGTTATTCGGTGTTCTAATAACGTCACAATATATCGAATCAATTCGGATGGATTTTTCTCCGCTGAATATGAACATTGCAAAAGCCGTTGATTTTCTTCGTTCATTGATATATCAATCTAATGCTCATCAAATGAAAATTCAAATTTGAAACTGTCACGCGCCAAATGTTATAATTCACGAGCAGCTATAGCAGATATCTTTTGTAGCAGAGTCCTAGATTTAAATCAAGAAGAGTTAGATTAGTGTTCTGTAAAGATTGAGGCCCAGCCAGGTTCAACTCCTAAGCTAAGCTTTACTTAAAATCAATATGTCATTCATTTTAGGTTATATAAACCTTTCATCTTAAAAATGAGAAATTTAATAAATTTATTCAGTAAAATCGCACTAAACAGTCCAAGAGTCGTCTCATACAACAATTCATTGAGAAGCATTTCTACCACGACAGTCAGAAATGACCTGATGGAATTTTTTGATGATCCAAAAAACTGGGGCGCCGAAGAAGTCAAAAGTGGTAGGTCTTGGAAAAAGGATGAACTCAGGATCAAATCGAATACAGATTTACATAAATTGTGGTATGTCCTGCTGAAGGAACGAAATATGTTGTTGACAATGGAACAGGAAAGCAAAGATCAAGCTAGGTTATTTCCAAGTCCTGAAAGACTGGACAAAGTTGAGGACTCCATGGAGAACCTAGAAGCTGTTGTCAGAGAGAGAAATACTGCCTATCATAAATTAGAAACTGGAGAAACTGGTGAAAGGCCAGGGAGGATGGAAGTTGGCCCTTTAGGTATAAGGTACTATTACAAGTAAGTTCTGAAAAAGTTTAACCCACTGCAAGGCTTAAAATTACCTATTGTAAATTTGTAGGATGTCAGAATATCCAATTCCTAAACACATGAACAAAAAATGGCAGGAGAAATATAAATTCTACAAGTATGACAAGGATGTAGAAGCATTTTTGTTGAAATACAGAGAAAAACTGTACTTATCAAAGAGGAAGGCACAGAGGTATTTGCTGGAAATTTTTTCAAACTTTTTCTATACAAATTGTTTTCAGGAGGAACTTCAACCATGTCATTGGTTTGATGAATAGATTCCCAAATATGGATATGGAGGCAGTGAAAGAACAGTATCCAGATGTTGATATTGAGAAAGCCAAATCTAGTAGGAAATATAAAGGTCATTTCTTACCAAAATGAATCATTATGTAATAATAAATAAATGAAATTTGGTACACTTGATGTTTTCATAATTTTAGTGAATTTGTATTTTTGTTTTTGTAATAAGAAAATAAAATTATTCTTTAAAATGTTTATTGTTTTGAGGTAACTACAATACTGTAAAATTGTAAATATTTTTCATTAATGGATATATCAATGACTTTCAAAATTATCCCATTGAACAATTGATATTTTAATATCAGTTTCAACAGTGAAGAAACAATGTATAATAATAATACATACATAACACTGAATGAAAAGAATTCAAATTAAAACCCCAGATTGAAAAATGTACTTCAAAACAACTTTAACAATACATAAGCAAAACTACCTCTTGTCATAATGAAAAAAATTAATATCTTAGCTTATCAGTTTGAAAGAAAATTACGGAAAATTATCATATTTTTTCAACATGGCCATTATACGCTTATAGTAGGGGTATCATATAGCTTCCCATATGATAGGAAATTGAACAACTTTAAGAAAACCCAAAATAAATCAACACTTCTTGAGCTAGATCACCCAAAAATAGTTAAAATATCTCAAAATCTATTAAAGAATCTGCAAGAACAAGAACTGCACTAGAAAGCACCCATATACTATAATTTCAAGATCTCCTTTGTCCCAGGGGCGTCCGCGCTAGGGGGCACTTGCCCGTTGGTAAGGGCTTGCCTCAATTATTATCAATATAACATTTCTAATTCACGAAAATGAAAATCTGGGCACAAAATTAAGCTTGATTATCATGACAACCAATAAATGTGAGCAGCCATGTTGCTTTTTGTGAACATCGAAAAAGTGTGATGGCATTTTCGGGACTGTTTTCCTATTTATTTTCAATTAATATCGCAAAAAAGTATGATAAAACGATTGAAAAAGCTACTTTAAACATAGTCCACAAAAATCCCGGATTTTTTTAGCCTAGGATAAGTACCCGGGGGAGTTCTTTGTACCCTGTACTCCCGCTTTTGGAGGTGTAAAATCACTGTTTATATATAGGTCCTGCAAAAACTGTTTTTTGATATGTACTGAATATTGTACATTATTATTTATTATTACAAAAAAAACAACAACAACAACAATATACAGTCTGTCCAAGATAAGGTTGAACAGCATGGGGATCTCGAAAACGGTAAGAGATACGAAATCGGTTATGGAGAAAAAGTTGCGCATTCGGAGGCTCATATCAAGAGCCTTCGAAAATTTTGAAAATTATTTTTAGTTTTTGAGTTATATCGAAAAAAGTGAATTTTTGGAATTTCTATTTTATTTTTTTTTCTCCGTTATTATAAGAGATACAGCAAAACTGAGAATACTTTTTCATAGCAACTTTTGATGACGGTCAACGTGGTGATACCGATTTTTTCATGCGACGTTTCGTATTCGTGGAACCATCATCAACTTTTGTTTTTTAAATACGGTCCTGATAATTTTTTTCACAGATTCTAAAAGGTTTTTTTATTCTGAATTTAACCATGTATTATACAAGGTGGTTCATTTGTGTTTCGACCTATTTTTGGCCATCATCAATGTTTTTTCGAAACTCCAAAGGAAAAATGCCATCAGTTCCACTTATTTTGAAGGAAAATTAGTCAACACACTAAAACCTCATCAACTGGTTTCAATCAACAACCCATTTCATTTTGCAGAAACAAAAATTCCATCCATACAAATTCAGAATATGTCAAGCGCTAAAACCAGGCGATGACGAAAGGCGCAAGACATTCTGTGAGTGGTATACCAGGAAATGTTAAAATTTTGCAGATTTCTTTCGAACAATCATCTGGACTGATGAAAGCATGTCACTAATCATGGTAGCTTCGATAGAAAAAATACACATTATTGTTCACGAGAAAATGAACATTTATACATTACAGCGAGACACCAACACCGTTTCGGCTTTAATATGTGGGTTGCAATATTTGGTACACGAATTATTGTTCCTTCTATTTACCATGAAACACAAACTTCCGAACGTTATAGAAATTCGCTTGAGAATCATCTTGAGGAAGCTCTGGATGATTTACCGATTGCGGAAGTTCAGAACTCTGTTGGTTTCAACAAGATGGCGCTCCGGTACATAATTCCAGAGAAGTCCGTGCGTTTTTATCCCTTGGCCGACGCGGTCGCCTGAATTGACACAGCTGGATTTTTTCTTAGGGGATATATCGAACTTTGTACACGCAAATAACTTTGATGATGAAGAAGAACTAAGGGACAGTGTCTTCGAAGCATTCAATAGAATAACCCCAGAAATGCTTAGCAATGTCTTAGAAACAACTGTGTGAAGAGGATATCTTTGTTCAGAAAATAATGGTTATCATTTTGAACATTTGTTATGAATGTCTCTGATGTAGGTATTGTCAAAGTTGAGTTGTTAAAGTAATTCGTGTAAGAATTCATCAACAATTTTAAACGCTGCATTGATCGAATGATGTAGTGAAATATTTTTTATTCACTTTTCAGTATTGAATAACTAATCCATCAAGTTTGACACTAAATGATAAGAAATAAGTGGAACTGATGGCTTTTTTTCTTTTGGAAGTTCGAAAAAACATTGATGATGGATAGAAATAGGTCGAAACACATTCGAATCACCTTGTATAGTACATTGTTGAATTCAGAATAAAAAAAACCTTTCAGAATCTGTGAAAAAATTATCAGGACCGTATTTAAAAAACAAAAGTTGATGATGGTTCCACGAATACGAAACGTCGCATAACAAAATCGGTATCACCACGTTAAACCTCATCAAAAGTTGCAATGAAAAAGTATTTTCAGTTTTTCTGTATCTCTGATAATAACGGAGAAAAAAAATAAAATAGAAATTCCAAAAATTCACTTTTTTCGATATAACTCAAAAACTAAATATAATTTTCAAAATTTTCGAAAGCTCTTGATATGAGCCTCCGAATGCGCAACTTTTTCCCCATTTAAGCGACTTCGTATCTCCTACCGTTTCCGAGATCCCCATGCTGTTCAACCTTATCTTGGACAGACTGTATTGTGACTTGCCCCCCTCCCCGCGATTATCTCTGCGGACGCCCCTGCTTTGTCCTATTCCCAAAAATCACCATAATCAGCAAACCATAGCTAGCATGCTGAAACTGATTTTTGCATTATCACAATTTCCACACATGTCGACATGAATAACATCAACCCTCACAGTTGATTCAAATTAGATCAATTGATATCCTTTCACAATAGCCTTCGGTTCATGTTCATGGTAAAATCGGAAAGATGGAAATACAAAACATAATATATTCTATAGTTAATCTACTTGAAGAGGGTGGAATGAATATATTAAATTAAGGGGTATTCAGAATAGAAAAATTATCGTAACACTGACACATGAATAGTCAAATTACTGTAACAGGCAATTACTAGGTATTCAATTATAGAATGCCTGAAATGTCTCTGTTGTGTAAAATGTACCATTCGCGATAGAAAATAACACGTCAACCCACCTGACGGCAACAACTTGAACACTTCTGAGTGGTTTGTTTTGATGATATGACCAATAAGCGCACGAACAAAAAACAAATGTGAACCAATGCAAACAAAGTAAACATGCCGCTTTGATAGCTTCCAAGAGCTCCGATAGGTGGGGCACGCTAATTTTCTATCGCGAATAGGAATTTATTCCTAAAATCTGCGTTCCAGTTGTTACTTTTTTTGATAAACAAATGCCACCGTTGCCACTTTACAGAGTTGAGCTTACTAAGTATTCTAATGCAGAAAATTGTAAACGGGCTATCATAAAAGAATACCATTCAATGAGTAGGTATACATAAATTTAGTTGATACTGTTAGTATAAGTAGTACAGTTTTATTGAGTATATAAATAATATCCATTTGGTTATACAGTATAAACTTGGATATTGGTATTAGAAATTTATTCAAGTACTTATTGATTCATTGAATCATATAGACATTTTAACTCCAATACTGTCTTTGCTGTCAAGGTCGAAAAACTAGAGTTTTTTTTTTCATTTTTATTCAAGTGTTTGTTCCTGTTGATCCCTAATCACCGTTCGTATGGTGATATTCCAAATATAAAGGGTGTCCCTGAAAAGTCTGTACAAAATGATACCATAGACTTCTGAGGCCAAAGATTATGCATTAAAAACATTCCGTGCCATTTTGATTGACACACACAGCATGTTACATATCGGGATAACCATTGATCGAAAAATTGATAGAACTTTTTCCGAGTACTGATTTTCTATTCCCTCAGTCAATACCTAACTTTCAGCCCTCCTGGAAGTTTGTGATATTTGGAATGGTTTGCAAGTTAATTGGCCAAATTCAATTTGATGTATACCTGTTAGTGTTCAGAAGTATTTAATTATTGCAGGTTTGTACTCAATTTACATATGAAATCATGAATTCAAAAGACAGGGTGTTGGATAAAAATAAAAAATAAAAGTTCAATTCCAACGCCCTGTAGAGGCTAAACGGAGCGTTTTGGTATAAAGATAAGTTCTGTTCAGGTCTCCGCAGTCTATGGTATCATTTTGTACCGACCTTTCGGAGACACGATGAATAATGGAATCCCTGCAAGTAAAATTTAAAGCAACTACTGTTAAGCTGATATTTTTTCAAGATTTTATGATCTATTTTCTGAACTAAATAGATTTGATTCGAATATCTAATAAAATCAAATATGGTACACGCGATTTCAAGTTTTTTCTCTCCTCTTGAACAATCTGAGCTCCATGAACTCAATTTCAAACAGTGTAATTTCTGTAATCTACTGCATAGATCCAATTTTATACTGAATAACCAAACTAAGTAGTAGCACTAACTATCCTAAAAATATATAATTTCCTATATTGTTTCTTGTTTACATGTGCATTTCAATATTCACTAAAGCGCCTCATGATTATTATTAATACAATTATTATTAGTACATATAATACCAAAATTAATATATATAATACATATCACATTACTTCATCTGGAAAAAAATGACTAGACGTTTAGAAGCTGAACCTGATTATATCACTACCTTCAAATAAATTGGTAAAAATTGATTTAAAATAAATTATAGATACTAGATATTCATTCAAGAGGAAAAAGAGATAATTCAAGCTATCGATGGAAGCCTATTTTTTTTTATTCTTACAGTATACAGGGTGTAATTTGATTGATGGCTAAAAATATAGGATATGGTTCCTCAACTCATCATAAGAAGAAAAGCTAATTTGAACATATGCCCTAAACCTCTCAACTTTCGAGCTATTGAGTATTATTTTAAGAATTAAATCGTTTTCTTATCATATCAGGTAGGTAAGATGTGTTTTTGACCAATTTTTTTTCAAGTAACGTTGATTGATTGTATTTGCCAAAATGGTTTTTGTTTTTTCACGCGAAAACGGTGCGTCGGTCAAATTGCTGAAAAATAAATGAGGATTCAAAAATTTATTTTTATTCTCGGAAAAATCACTGGTGAAAATATTGAAACATCTCCTGCATAAAAGAATGCCTATTGATGCTTAGTAGGAGCATGTTGAATTTCATGGAAATATCTATGAGTATTGAAAATATGAAAACAAAACGAATTTTTTCTTAAAATTTCAACACTCTATAGCTAGCAATTGGAGAGGTTTAGGGCATATGTTCATATGAACTTTTCTTCTTAAAATGAGCTAAGAAACCATATCCTATATTTTTATACCCTGTATACAGTATGAGTTTGTTTTTCATCATCAAGGTGAATATATTTGACCAAACTATCTTTAGGTCTTTCCTGTATTCACTTCTTGTTCAACGTTGTCTACTCTCGGTTTTTGATTACATTTCGTTAAAACAGGCCCCAAACTGTTATGAAACAAATAAGCTATCAGAAATTATCATGATGAATTTGAAGAAATCCAGTGAAAACCTTCTGAAACTCAAAAAAAATCACTAAATAACTTTCAGAGAAAAGTTTCATAGTGAACCACAATATAGTTGTTGAAGAACAAACCCAAGGGTGATATTTTTCTTTCTTTGCCTCTAGAATGAATCAAATATTAAACAGGTAAGAATTCAATACATTGTCTACAATAAAATATAGCTGTTGATAGAACTGTAGCACAACCAATCAGAAAAAATAGAGATTCATGAGAACTACTATGCTATCTCTTACAAAAACTGTAATAATACAGTGTTAGACGGCCACGTTCCTATAAGGGATGTATAGACATCGACACACTTCTTGCTTAGGGGATCAGTTTCTGGGATGGTGCTAAGAGGAAAAGATTCTCCCTGAAATAAGAAATTGAATGCTTCTAACTAACGCTTGAGATACTACCACAAAATTGTATCAGAAAATTCGATTTTAATTTATTTTGATGACATAAACTTAATAAAGATTGTAATGACCTAACTTCAGAAACCATCACGTAGGTTTTGAAAAAAACGCAAACCCTTTCGAGACGAGTTTTTGTTTAAAGGGTAATGGGTTAGATTTTTATTGGTTTAATGTCAGTGGCGATCAAATAAAACCTCTACATCGAAATTTCAATTACTTCTTATTCATTAGAAGTGGTGGGGGGATGGTACATATATGTACCGCCAGTCTTTAAGGGTCCTTGAGGGTGGTACATATTATATGTACGAATTTTTTGCAGATGTCGGCTTCCATAAATAGCTACTGCCCGACGAACAGTCGAATAAACTTGAAATTTCTGACAAATAGTCAACAATGTGGTACAACTGATCCATACATTTTTTTCTGGACATATCGTCTGAGACAGAAAAAAAAACGAAGTCAATACAGAAGACTATCGGTACATATACATGTACCAACATCAAGTGCAGTTACAGACTGCTGGTACATATGTGTACCACTGTAGAAAACAGCCGTTTTTTTGTTATTTCCACCAGTTTTTCGCAAATTACCTTCAACTAAGTCCACACACACAATATGCGCAATTTATGACACTTTTTTTCGTCAAAATTAACTGAAAACGGATCGTAGAACGTGGCCCGGCACAAATAAATAACTACCACATAACCCCGAATGAAACTTTGCGCATCAAAGTTACATGGGGAGGTAGGAGACGTACTGGTACATAGAGAAACCATATGAAATATGAATATTTGCTTATAGTTTTTGCGTGATTCTTACTGGTACATATGTGTACCGACAGGCTCGAAAGGGTTAAACTCTACAATATGATAAATTTGAAAGGATCCAACAAAAACTCCTTTTTTTAATGTTTTTTTTGTTCCAGTTACCTGTATATCATCATTGATATACTATTTGAACATATTTCTCCCCAATTTATTCAAAGAGAAAAGCAACCAAGCTATAGATATCAGTTTGTCCAAAATTGCGACTTTTGGTTATTAATGTATACCTTATGTATCTTAAACAAAAGTGTCATTTGAAGGTACTCTCCTACACTATTCTGTTGATGAAAGGATGAACCAAGTTCAAGTCAAATGAAATTAGGAATGAAAGATTATATTTTCATATTTCGTTAGTTTTTTGTTAAAGTGGACAAACAGCCAACAGTGCAGTTGTGTGGAAAAATAAAGAATGAACGGGATAAAGAAATATGTCAAATAGCGTTGCATCATTTCAGATCATTTATGACTATACCTGAAAAGAAGTTGAAACAATGTTACTCACTTCTTCATTCAAATATTGCCAAAGACTCTCAAGAGTGGAGATGAACTTCTCCAATTCTGCATTTGTAGAAAAGTACAGTATCCAATCCCCACTGTATTCATGGACCTCTCTACAGGCAAACTCCTGAAAGCCATAAATGTTCAAAATATATTTTTAAAATTGTTCCATACCATAGAAAAAGAAAGGAAATTTAAGTGAGTAATTTTCAAACGGATAGAAATTTACCGCGAGTAAAAACTGACGTCACGATTTCGTTAGTAGGGGCAGACCATAGCACATTTTCCATGTGTTGAAATACGATTGGTAACTTCAGAAATATTAGTTATTCAATGATCCATAAATTCTCAATTATGTATTGGTAATATTCTTATTTAGTAATACAAAATCAATTGTCTCAAAATGTTCCCTTATTTGTGGCTTATTGCTTATAATAAAAATTTTTCAACATTTATTCAATCTTTGCTATAAACATTACATTGCATCTCATATAAATATGAATATAATCATTAACATTTACAATGGAATAACATGAATAATCAGACAGATTCATATCTGGTATGAGATTATTCATGCTTTATCAAATTAAATTATAGTTATTGAAATAAACAACAGAATATGAAAAAATAAATAAAACAAAAAGCTCATGAAAAGTACATTATGACATGATGAAATAAATTAGGTAGTCAATGAGAAATCATTCACTCAGGTTTGATTTTCTCTTTGCAAGAGGATATGTTTCTTGACTTTGATTTTGAATTGGGTGATATTTGTGCAACTTTTGATATCATCAGGTAATTTATTGAATTTTGAGATAGCTCCGTGAGTGAACTTTTTTTGACCAAGTGTAGAATGAGCAGCATCAAGATGAAACAAGTCATATTGTCTAGTATGATGTTCATGAATTTGAGAATTCCTTACCAATATGAAGTTAGATTTGAGGTGTTTGTTGATAATATCAAAAGAAATTTTGAGAGTATTTATCAGATAGTGCTCTTCCAAAGAAAATGTATTTGTTTCTTCATAAAGTTGATTTGATGGGGTGTCATATGGAAGACGATACAGTACTTTTAATGCTTTTTTATATAGTACAGATATTTTGTTGAAATTATTCTTGAAACATGAACCCCAAATATTTATGAGATAGTTCATTTTACTAAGGATGTGAGAGTATAGAAGGGTATTTGGGAGAAGTTTTGGAAATCTTCTTAAGGCACCAACTATGGGGGAAATTTTTTCTTTGAGCATGCCAATATGCTTGTTCCATGTTAACTTTTCATCAATCCAAATACCAAGGTATTTGGTATAGGCAGTTTGTTTCAAAGGACATTTGACGCGGTAAACGTGACAACACGGCGCACGAATTGTGGGCGTGGTCTTGTCATTTCTCAGCATTCAGCACAATGTTGCCAAGTCTTCAACATTCATATGATATTTTGTTACGGAGCATAAGAAATATTTGGACATGCTGGTTGCTCGAAGTAGTGATGAATGAACTATAATATCATGGGTTCCTCCTAATGTGTTTTATTCCACGACAGGACTCTCACATCTTTTTGATAATATGATTATAATTGGTGACTTGACAATCTTGCTTCGTGAGTGGAAATGGAAGATCATCTGACCAATAACAAAACAGCATACAAGATGACGTCACATTTATTCAACGTATCGCCAAATGGCGGTCATGACGTTACGTTTGAAATGAGCTCTGAAATTCAACAATTTCGAACAATGCATAGACTCATTATTCACATAAAAAAAGCGTGAGAAGTGTTGCAAAAATTGATTTATGTCCCTAAGGTCACAGTGGAGTAATTGAATGCCAATAATTCATATTCGCATATTTTGAAAAAATATTTCAATCCTTTGTAAACAAATGAAAAAAGTGAGTTTGTTTTACCTCCAGGGTCGGTCATCTGACAGAAGTGCACTTGAACTATTATACCTGTCCCCTCGTTCCATATTATGCATCCCTGACAGTTTAATATTACGATATCACCAACAAATGCGTACGGTAATAGAAGCTTCTTCAGAGACGCAAGATAGAGAAAAAAACATCCACCAGGTTGAAATCATTCAGTTAATAATCGAATCATTTACATCAATATTTCTTCAAACTGATTCAGAACAATTAATTAATAAAAGTCACATGTCACATGGCTGAAAATAATTTCTTACCAAAATACACCAGCTCTGCTCTGCTGAAGGCAACCTGAAGGTGACCAAATCCACTATGGCGGCGCACGACAACGCCTGCGTTCCTTTCGCGGGATCGTGGGGCGAATTTGAGTTCGGTATGACGTTCAATGTGGAGGGGAAAGCCTCTCGGACAGTCAGAATGTGATCGGTGGTCATCAGCAGCGAGCACGATTGAGTCATGTTCTTCTCTCGGTGTTGGTTGTACGTCTGACGATCATGGAAAGTATGAGCGTGTTCACAAATTATTCAAAAATTATTATCAAATCATCCAATAGATATTACATGAATTCTACTTCGTGCCTCAAGTACTAATGAAAACAATTTTCCTTCTAACCTGTATTGTTGTGATATCATTGAAATGCGAGTTAGTAACCTATTTGACATTCGATTCATTTCACGACTCATAGACTCATAGAAACTCGATGTTGTAGAACAAAATCAATCACGGTTTCAGTGTTTTGAGAGGATTCCAGATCAACTTCTCACAAAACCAGAACCTAGTTTATCAATACTTGAGAGCCGATAACAATTCAGTAATTTGATTATCCTTCAATTCAAATATCCATAACATCGGATAGATTTAGAGTTTTATCTTGATATCATATTGTCTAATCTATGTATTGGGTATTGGGTATAGTCCACCTCTATACACGACGTGTGTCATTTTGTCGTCGATAAAAAGGGTTCATCACTGTGAGAATCCCTGTTCCTAAAATCAGACTTCATTCAGTATATACCTGCCATTTCACAATATTGTTGGTTATTGTTCACATCGAAATTCGCAAGGTAAGACGTTTTGGATAATTTTCGTCATACGATTGATATGATTAAACAATTACGCAAACTACAAGAAACAGGAAATCGTCATCGTTATATACCACTAGAACTTTTTTTAATAAATTTCCTTACCACTGTAGAATGCTATAGCTCCAGTAGTCGCTCTTACTGTGAATTACTGTACTCACTGAGCTTAGGCAAATACGCGACGGTGTTTCAGGCAGAAATTATTGCAATACATCATTGCGTGAAAGAATTGATAAGGCAAGAGTTTAAAGGCAAAACCATTGCAATCTATTCAGATAGCCAGGCGGCAATCATAGCAGTCAACTCTATGCAAGTTAACTCAAAACTAGTATGGGACTGCTTAGAAACCCTAAATGCACTGGGCAGTCAGAACAGATTGACTCTAGCATGGGTACCAGCACATACAGGGTACGAGGGCAATGAAGAGGCAGACTCACTTGCCCGAGCAGGAACAAACAAAGCTCTTAATGGCCCAGAACCCATTTGTGGTATTGCGAGAGCTATACAAAAGACTAGTATCAAATCATGGATGCAAACCAAATCTCAAGAATGGTGGAACAACTCGCCAGGAATGAGACAGGCTAAAGACTTTAATAAAAAACCATCGCCAACGTTCACAGAATATCTACTAAGCCAGAAACGAAGTTCAACTAGAATACTAGTGGGACCTCTCACAGGGCATTGTAGGCTCAACAAACACGAGTACGATGGGTCTGACTGAAGAACCGCTGTGCAGGTTCTGTCAAGAAGAGGAAGAAACAGCAGTACACATACTTTGCCACTATGAGGGCTTGTCAAGACTAAGGTTCCTTACGCTAAAACCAGGAGCCCAGAGATACACAGGAGATCTGAAAGCTAGCCTATGGAGTCTCATAGAGAAGGCGGGGCTAGCCGAAGAACTCTAATCGATTTTGAGGGCAGACACAATAGATCTGAAAAGGTCGCAGTGTGGAGGCAGATAGCCCGAAGGCCCCATTCCAAATCTTCCAAATCTACTGTCGAGTGTCGACACCATTGATGTTCGTTACCCCGTTTTGTTTAGTGCGCAAGCGTAATTTCAAGCCATGCGCACCAGGCTGCCTATTTTTTATCATGATTTCATCACTTGGACACCTGCTCCTAGGCAAAAAACCAGACCGAGAACACCGTGATAAACATATATCGAACGAGACCGTTTATAAATTATTATACGAACGATAATAATAATAATGTTCCCGATTCCTGTATGTTACGATACTAGGCGACTCGTCAGATCGTAACGCAGAACAATAATGTCCCTATCAAAAAACTGACATCAGACAAAATACTATTCAACCTATGGTCTCGAAATTATTGCAGTATCATCAAATCGTTATTTCGATTAGTTTTGGGGTTGTAGTCGTGCCGTATGCCCCAAACTTTTTACCAAATCATAATCACCTTTGTCAAACCACGGGTGTGTTTTTCATTCCACAATTTGCCATGCGCATGAATCAGAGAAACCATCGAACTGTTGCAAAACACCGCTGAAATGATGGAAATCCATAAAACTGTCATTAAATGCGCACTTTCAGTTTGCTTTGAGAGAATCCAGTGGTTTGGAGAAGATTGACATGACGATTGACACATTTCAAGTATTGTTCTTTGTTTCGATTTGATTTATGTTAATCAATAAATTCGTATCAGCCTCTTCTGGTTCTGAAGATACATGACAGACTGACACACAACAAAATCCGTTTTTCCATCACTGTGTTGTATATATCATTGATCCTTTTATTTCATCATAAATTCCATCAGAACATTAGTGACGTCACGACAAAAAAGCGCATCAATCAGTGCGGCCTATCGAGAGGGGCTATCACAGCCAGCAAATCACTATATGCACTGACAGCCAGGCGGCGATCAAGGCGCTCACCTCGTATAGGGTGACCTCCGCCTTGGTGTCAGAGTGCATAGATAGCCTACAAAGGCTGTCAGCAACGAACAAGGTATGTCTTTTGTGGGTCCCTGGACACTCAGGGGTACCAGGTAACGAAATGGCCGATGGTCTGGCCAGAAAGGGGGCGAAGGGTTCAGTGATTGGCCCAGAGCCAATCTTAGGGGTCACTCGATCCTGGAGCAACTTCAAGATGAAGGAAATCCTGACGGAAAAGGTTCAGAGCAGCTGGAGAAAGGCTCCTCGAATGAGGCAATCCAAACTCCATATAGGAAACCCGTCACGAAGACAGACCAATGCCCTCTTGACTTTGAACAGGAAGGAGCTGAAACTGGTGGTGGGCCTGCTGACAGGGCACTGCCACCTGAACAAACATCTCAGCATGATCGGGATTGTGGAGGATCCTGAATGCAGATGGTGCCTAGAGGATGAAGAGACTTCTACTCACATCCTCACTGAATGCCCGGCAATAGTGGCAGCAAGGGATATCCATTTTGGGAGCAGTATCCTGGACCCAGAGGATGTTAAGAAGATTTGGCCTAGGAAGTTGGTCTCTTTTGCTCGCGAGATCGGCCTTCTCCATGGCTGACTTGCGATCCCAGGAATGTGGGTGCACAATGAGCCCGAAAAGGGAGGCCTAAGTGCGTCAGGTCCCGGACCGCCCACACACACACATACATACATCAGTGCGGACTTTCTTCGATGGGATGAAAAAACCTCATTTCTCTCACCCCAGTTATTTCAGGCTTACCCCGCTAGCCGCATGAACCAATTCCTGCAACCACTCGCTGGCCACGTATTCATCGGGAGCGGCCAGCATCAGACTCTTTCCTTCGACGATCACCTGGAAGGTGTGGGGTCTGCCACCGTTGAATACCCTCCTGGCGCCCTGGCAGCACCCGTTGATGAGCGGAAACACCCGCATCGGTACCCGTTGGGAGGGGGCGGACAACATGTATAGGACCCCGGCCCTGAACAAATATGAGTATTTACAATTAAACATACAGTTTAGAATATTTTATTTGGTGTTAATACACATTAAGTTTTACACAGGTCAACAACAAGAATATACTCATGAAATATATAAAATAGATAAAAAACAAGTGAGGTACGTAGTTTTTGAAAGGTATCAGATTTGTACAGATGTAGTTTTCATTAGGTATTAGATTAGTATAGAGGTCAGATAATTTATACGACGCTATAAAAGCAGATGATATTTTATCATTGCTCATATAAGATGGAAGTAGAGGCCATGGCACCATATCATGAGCATATTTTTATATTGAAACTATCATTGGGCACCAAAGATGTGTATACGACGCTATGAAAGTTCAGAGAACTGGAGATTTTTCCCACGAACTACGTACTTAGCCCACTCGACTGTCTTGGTTTTTCCAGACAGTCGAGTGAGCTAGGTACGTAGTTTATGGGATAAAAATTAAGACAGTCGAGTGTGCTTTTTTTACTTTCTTTTGTTTTTTGATTTGTTTTCTATTGGCAAGTGATTATCTAGGAACTTGTAAATTTTTTAGTTTTTTCATCGTATCTCCCGAACTATTGAATTCAGAGAAAAATGTTAAACGGATTTTTTGTAGATTCTATCGAAAGGAATAATTTTGGTTCTATAACATTTTCAGATATTTTCAGTTGTTTTCGAGATATTTGGAATTATGTGAGAATAAAATTTTCAACACTTTTGTTCCATCTTCCAAACAACAAAAGGAAAAAATATTTCATTGTTCAGTGGAAGTCGATGATCTTCATCTATCGATAATCTTTTGTTTTTCAATATATCTTCATGGTACCCTATGGGTTCAAATTTTTTTTTTCATATTTTTTACTTCATTTCCTGTACTATTGGGTTCACAGAAAAAATTTTGGGTAATAATTTGTAGAAAATGTTCCAGTGGATAACTTTGCACTTCTGATAGTTTTCGATTTTTCCATTTGTTTTCGATATATTATATTGAATTGACAGGATTTCAAATATTGATGTTTTGATTTTCATTTGTTTTTCCATTTTCCGATGGATGCACGAAAAAATGGTGAAATTGCGTCATCAAAGAGGCATACGGTGCATTTTTCAAATTTGGATTCAGTCTATTGGTTCAGGAGATATGTCGTTTTAAAGCGAACCGTGTGTTTCGGAAAATCTCCTTGAAAACCCCACTTGAAATTTCCCGACCCTGCTCAATTTCAATAGGCTTCGTCTCTCCCTGATAGAGTTTTTTTTCACAAAAAATGAAATCGATCGGACCACTTTTGCGATTTGTAGAGTGGTCACAAGAAACTTCCGGTGAAAAATCGAAAAAGCCCGGAAAAACCACCTTAGAGTTTTCCGATTTCCTTCATATTTTAATGACATAATATTGTTTTGAGTACAATAAGATGGCAAAATTTCAAGTCAATATGTCAAAGGGTTCCGGAGATATATCGATTTATGATTACCACAGAGTACAGACAGACATACAGACAGACAGACCATACACAAAAATCAAAGTTGCTCAAAATTCGATGGGGATCATTTTCTCCAAAGTAACTATACCTCTATCTCTCTTAGTTTCCGAGATAGCATTTTTGGCAAGGCCGTAGTATACTCCACTATGTATAGCGTCGTATAATAACACACAATAACAACGAATAAATAATTAAAAATTTCAATGTCCTATTTAGTTCTAAGAGTTCATCAAACGTTACCAAAAAACATTACATAACCGTGAGCACTTATACCAAGATGTAAAATATAGTTCGATAGCAACATTAATCACACATTACTGATTAATGGTTGAGGAACGTTATTGAAAAGCGTATTCATCACGTTGTTTCTGTAACTGACTGTTGTATGATGGTTAAAGATTCACGTTGGGAAAACGTCAGATTTAAGAGTTCATTAAACGTAATCAGAAAACGTTACATAACCGTGAGCACCTCTACCAACATGTAAAAAATAGTTTGATAACAACATTTATTACACTTTGGCAAATAACGGTGGAGAAACGTTGTTGAAAAACATTTCTAACACGTTGATTTCGTGACCAGCAGTTGATTTTTGTTGAAAGAATGAAGTTGAAAGAACTATCATTCCAAGGGTTTAACAAACGTTTCGAATAAGCGTTATATAACTGCTAGCAGTTCAACTATGAGTTGAAAAATAGTCATATTGGTTGATAATGAATTCAAGATTAAACAAAGATGGCCCGAAGAAAATAGATTCATTCTCGATGTAATCAATATTGAGTTAATATAATAATGATCATTGATATGTATAAACAAAAATGAAAAATATAATGCACTTTTTCATCAGTTGGAATGCTCACTTCAAGATAAAATATGCAGTTTCCCATCTACACAATTCGGACTCAGCAGTTTTAAACATAAGTGGCCCTTCTTTCTTAGGACCTAGAGGTGTCTGTTCAGCATCAGATGTGAAATCCTGCACGTTCACAATGCTATAGTAATAATACTCCTCATCCTGAAAAATATATTGGGCTATTGAAATTTTCAAAATATAGTATTAGCATTTCCCAATTTATTATTTTTTTTATTACAGTTTGCAAATAAGTGAAAAAAATTAGTGAGTTTACTAGAGTCCGAACACGATAACTTTGGGACAGCACGTGGTCGCGTATGCATTGAATATGCATATGCGTTGCGTCACATGCTGTTAAGGTGGTCGGACTCTAGGCTATTGAGATATAAATTATATGCAACTAAATAAATTTGAGTAATGATCAGAGTGAATTTGTGGTGTTTTATAAACTATACATCGCTGGATCATGATGATTGATGATTTTTTTTTCTTTTGAGATAGACGTACCTTGTGTACGGAAGTCTGTCTGCAGATAGCACTTCTCAAGGCCACCATGTCCCTCATGTTCAGCTGTTTCACAGCAGGCAACCGAGGTTTATTCGAGTCTCTCCTCATCGCTATCTCGAGCTGCCCCACCAACTCGCTCGTGACATTCGAACATCCCGTACTTAGAATAGAATATGATAAATACAAAGTGCCCGGAACAAATATCAACAATATTTGGGGGTCAGTAGGGAATATCATAGTTAACATTTTCATTTGTCTTGATAATAACCCCGTTTATAGCAAAGATATATCATATAATAACATATTGAATAATAGTAATAATAATTCTAGATACCTACAGAATAAATGATGAAAAATTGTTTTCAATTATTGCTTCCTGACAAAATGAATAAAACAAAAAATCTAAAGTTCATACAAGAAGTATGGGAGATAGAGCAGGAAACTAAAGGCAAAGCTAGGTAGGATGATTTATTATGGTAAGAATAAGAAGTCTGTGACTAGGACTAAAATTCATATGAAGAAGTGTATAAACATACCAACTGAAAATCAATGACTGGACAAAACTTATGACTGTCGCATAAACCCACCATATCCATGGGTGAAAAAATAAATTGAACAGAAATAAATCAACATACCTTATAATACACTGCATTTCTCTATCAGCGTTTGAGAAATGGACCATTTGAGCATTGGGACCCAGGAGAATGGTATCCAGGTCAGTGTAGGGCAGAACAAAATGATTATGATAAGAACCATTCGGTTTGGACCCTGTTATATACAGGGTTCTATCCGTTAAAAGAACTAATAGTGCTTTGCTGTCTCCATTGGTTGTATAAGAGCTTCTTACATGGAATACCTACAAGATACGGTGGTGAAAGAAGATAAAGTATATTCAATATCAATTGCAGAATATCCCGCACTACGCGGCGTCGGCGCGTTTGAAGTTTTCTTTGAAGTGACTGCAGGTGCGGCACAAGATTCTGCAATTGTTTTTGGATAAAGTATACCAACTGATACGGAGTGAGTAAATGTGTTCAATTACGAAAATAATGATGATGATTCTATGTTTCCCCCAAAACATGAAGAAATTGAAAACCTGCATTTCTGTTATGACGACACAATAGTTTCAGATAAAGGGTATTGTCACCGAACATAAACAGAGACTAGAAGGACCACTCTAAGCTCGAAGCTCTAAGCGAAAATTTTCCTTCCTGCCCCGTCTCGATCTCGGCACTCTCGCGTATACTGATAGTCTTCACGTTAGGCTTCTGGGTAACGCAGTGTACTTGTATACCGATTGGAATCCAATAAGACACCTCACTTCTTCATTCAGCATTGCTTTATTGTCATTATTTTGAAAAATAAGAATGGGTTTGTGTTGAAGGCTGTAACAATAAACCAGGGCATGGGATTTATTCAAAAATATTCCATTTGCACATCCATGTGAACATTTTCCATTATTCCTGTATACGAGAGTTCGTATTTATTATACTAGAAAATTCGCTAACCGTGATATTGAGAATGAAAAAGATAAGAAGCCAAATATAAAATTGAATATCTTGCAGAACTTGTAAGAACATTCATTGGAAGTTTTTTTTGTTCAAAATCGGAATAATATTAGGAATTTATTTTGTTTATAAACGTTTCATTTTGTCTCTGTTATTACGAAAGGGTCAAACTAGTTTTTTTGGTAAAAAATATCTGTCATGTTACTTTTTCTTGAAAAACACCTATTGATTTTATTAGTATGTACTGTTATTGCTTCCAGGAGAGGCCCTAATAGTATATTACACACCGAGGTGGGAAGTGATTCATTCCTGTCGTGAGATTAATAAGTTAGCTACAAGCTCGAGACAGGAATGAAACTCCCTACCGAGGTTTCTATACTATTTTATTTACAACCATCATATTTCGATCAAAATTAATAAATCTATGTTTCGTTCTGAACATACCTGAATTATTACATGAGTGAGGGCGGGAAGTGAGGGCGGAAAGTAGTGAGGGGCGGAAAGTGAGGGGGGGAAGTAGATGTGTGTAATGTGACACTTCCCAACCTTCAATGACGTTAGTAATGACAACATCACATATATGGTTGTGAATAAATTATTTTACCTACGGCCGCAATAGGAAGTAGGCAAGAACACACGAAATACAGCTACTGTAAGTACCTCTTTACGTACAGTAAGCAAATCGCACAGTATTCGTTTATTCCGCCAGTATAGGTATGTCATGATCGCGTAATCGCCGTCAACAGCGGATGACATAACTGTCAAGAATTATAGTTCAGGCTGTTTGTCCAAACTTTTCTGATGTACTATATGGCAGTAGGTAAAGTATAGTACGTAATGCGTGTTGTAAAGCAATTATGCACTCATGGAATTAAATTATTTAGTAACTTTTCCATTCGTGCGTAATATGCTTCCTACAACACATATAATAATAATAATAATAAGCATTTTGGCTTTTCCTTGATTGAATATTAATAGTGTGATCCATTTTCTTCTACATTGACTTATCTACCTCATTGTGAAAATTTGTATTGAAATAAAATGGAACATCATGAATGCCAATGATAAGCCACAATAAACAACACCGTTTTCTTTGAGTCGCTCTCCTGAGAAATATCGAGACATGTACCTTCGTAATAATAGCGGCAATTAGTTCGTTATTAAGATCACATATTGTTCTTGTTCTTCTTCATAAGTTGTAAATAATGGAAATATAATAACTATATTATGCATGTTTTATTCTTGATACAAATATTTCGCGAACGGACCTTCTCTGGTTATTTTCATAATATTGAAAAGATTATGTATTATTCAGATTACATTTTCATTGAACCCCGTAGCTAAGCCTCTCACTGCAATATGAGCATGGCATTGCAAGTGACCCTCGTAAAGACACGAAAACAGCTGCAGGCGGCCACCGCTTTTGTGAGCGCTACATGAAAGTACCGCCTGAAAGTGAACCTTCTATACCTTTTCAACTTCAATTCCAGAATCGGTAAGTTATATTTCGGAAAAGGTAAACTCGGTTTCAGAAATGGTTAACTCAATTTCAGAATCGGTGAGTTGAATTTCAGAAAATTCCATTCAATATCAAAAATGGTAAGTTATATTTCAGAATTGTTTAGTTCAATTTCAGAAAGTAAAGTTCAACTTGAAATAAATAATCCTGATTACACATTCACTATCGTGAATTGAATAAGTCACTATATGAATCTTAGTTCATAGGATGATGAGGGTGCATTCAAAATGGGCATCCTACAGATACCATAGTGGTAGTTCTGGGTAATGCACCTGCACATTCAAGAATATATAGAGGAGATTTGCATGAAGGAAGGCTTTCAAGATGTTCTCATTTGCAGATTGGCACCTCACAGCCCCCAATGTTGAACCCTATAATTGAACATATTATGGAATACCTTCAAGTCAGAAGTGAAAATCTTCTTGCAAGAGCATCACCAAAGAGTCATAGCCAGGGATCCAAACAAATTGCTTAGCCAAATAGAATTCAGACTGTGATGTCTTGATGCATGTTCAATGAGAACATATACCTCAAAAGTGTTTGAATTCTTTTGAATCATTTGCAACGCCACTATCCTTCTGCGATTCGAATGAAAGACATGTCTGTATGGGCTAATTAAAGATTAAAGATCAAGTTTGGTATATTTGTTTAATGGTTTCAAAAAATTAAAATATTCTGAAGATGGTTCGTTCTTTCCACATGCAACTAAAAATATGCCAAACAAATATAAGGATTCAATTTCTGAAATTCAACTTACCATTTCTGAAATTGAATGGACTTTTCCTGAAATTCAACTCACCGATTCTGAAATTGAGTTTACCATTTCTGAAATCTAACCAACCAATACTGAAATCGAGTTTACCTTCTCTGAAATATAACTTACCGATTCCGAAATTGGAGTTGAAAAGGTATAGTCTCTGTTTATGTTCAGTGGTATTGTTGAGGTTTGATCATTTCTTTACTTAACAATACATATCGTGGCACTCACCCTAGAAAGTTTCTCAAGTCGATTCCTGAACACTTCCTTCCTGAACTGTACCATCAAGTTCTTATCCACCGAATCCGAATAGTTCACCGTCTTCCGTCGCCCTTCAGCTACCTCCCTATCCAACTCCCCATCTAACTTGTCAGGCCCTTGGGGCTTGACCCCCTTCACACACAAACTGAGCACCCTCTTGGAGCTCCTCTGCTTGTCCAACACTTTGGCGTCCAGCATTTTCTTCAGCGTGACGTTTTTCAAGAACCTGTTTATCAGGGAGGTTTTTGAGCTGGAGGCTTTCAAGGGCAGAGATTTCGCAAGGTCTGGCTCGGACAGTCTATCGGAAAGGGGCACTTTGAAGGAGCTGCTGACGGAGTAGTGGTTGTTCCTGTTGATTTTGCGTTTGGGAGAGCTCAAGTGTCTGGGGTTTTGGGGCTCCGCCAAGTCGGAGATGGTTTCGTTATCGGACCAATCGAGTTTGCTGGAAGAGGAGCTTTTGCGACTGATGGTACTGGTTGCGGGTTTGACTTCCTTGACTATCGGCTCCTCTACTTCTTCAAGGTTTTCTTCGATTTTGACGGGCGTGGATGCACCGTTGATTATTTCGAAATCTTCTTCTCCTTCGACGTCTTGTTCTTGTCTGGCTCTTCTTCGGAAGAAGTTGAATTCCTTGAGGATCATTTGGTAGACGGTTGAGCTTTTTGGTTTCGTTTGATTTTCGAAAGTTTTTTGGAATTTGTCATATTCGTAGGAATAGCTAATGCCTGTGAATTGCAAGTAAAAATTGAAACTTATTGAGCGAAAATGTCTCGGAAACTTTTATTGATGAGTAAAAGTGATGTTTGTACCAAAAATCTCATAATATGAGGCTGACTAATCAGACATCCTGCCTGGAATCATCGAAAACAATCAATTAACGTAAGAAATTATGTGAATGGTAAAGAATCAAATGAAATCTACTTTGTACTGAACATCTTGTCGGTGTAGCTCATTATGTCAGAAGTTGATTGAATTATAATAAGGAATTAACAGAGCATTAAAAATTTCAATGGTTTTATAGGAACCTCATTTCTCTATAGGATTCAATTTCAACTTATTTTTGTAAACTATCCTGATGTCTTCCTGTCATGAACATACCTACATGTTTATTGACACAAGGTGGACATGTTTCAAATAAAAAGTGAAAAGTAAGTGACTATAAAATATTCCCAAACTTCATATTTGAATTTGAAAGTGCATTCAATTTTATGTAAAATGTTTCTATTATAGAAATCCATTTGGACCTACCTTCCTCAAAGTTTTTTACGACCAATGTTTACAGTATCCTTTCTTTTAACCTATTCAATAACGAGAATTTTTTATAGTTATATAGGGTAGGTAGTAGATACTTCAAGAGGAATTGAAGAAGGTACTCTATGAATTAAATGATTAACTCTAAACAGCGGCATTAGGTCGGAATTATTAGGCAATAGACGGCAATAGATATGAAATATTCGGCAATAGTTGGGAATAAACTGCACAAAATGCATGCACATTGCAGTGAGTAATCCCTATGTGTTGTGTTTATTCAAATTTCGAATAGGTATGTCGTTAATTCGAAATACCTCAACTCCCAATATATTGAATGTGACAGGACACAACACACATGGATATACCCGAGGATGTACCTAAACTTTGCCGAATAAATGATCTTGTGAAATCAGTGTAGATACTTGAAGCTCTAAACCTAAACTTGAATTACACTGAGTGACATTTTCTCGGAGTTTTCCAAACGGACATGACAGATTTTGAAAATGAATTACTGCCCGAAACGCCATGGGAATCAAAACACCATGAATGGAATAAAAAATCACTCTCAGGAAATCGAAAAAAAAATGCCCAGATAAGTGTAAATTCGTCATGAAAATGAAGAGACATACATTCAAAATTGAAAGTAGATAGATACTTATTTTCGTACTCATCCAAATTTAGATCTCCACTCGTCTTCTGAGAACATGTCGCGATTTTTTTATCTTGCGGAGTGCACGAAAGGAAATTCCTATGTAGGGAGAGGATGTAGGTGATGGAATTTTTCTTGAACTTTTGGAGGTTATAATAAGTTCTTGGGAACATTTTCATCGGTGAAGAATTCCAAAGCAGTGGTAATTTAGAGAGCTGACACCATCAACGAGTATACATACCTACTAGCTTTGATGACCCCTCCCCAATATAATAAGAAGATACACATGATAGGCAGTGCGCAATTATAAAAATATATTTCAAACTAGTACTTGAAGGGAATTCGTATATTCATTTTTCTGAACAAAACTACAAAACATTTCGTATAATTTGGATATTTAAACTGTGGAATACTTATATCTGCCATCAGTAATTTGTGTTTGGGATATTTAGCTACTCTTTGTCAATTTCAAGAATCACACAGAGACAAATAAGTATCACGGTATTTTCAAAGGGAATAGATATATGTTTAGAATAATTGTTAATGAGCATAAATAAACTGGTATTCTAGTCATAAGGTATTGATAATAATTTTCAGCATTCAGGCATTAGTGCAATATCAGAAATATATCGGTATTACGGCAATAAACTAGCATTTAATACCGAAACTGGCATAATTTTGGATCGTATCCTCCCTCTCGAGAATATCATCATAATCCAGGGACCAAAATTATATTCCCAGGCCCTCGCCGATGGATATAAGGTCCTGTGGTAGGTTTTCATTATTTAAAATGAATTGATGATCAATCATCATTTCATTTTTTCAGGTGCTCTATGGGAGCCAAGATAAAAAAAATAGGTGTTGGTGATAAATTGATGACACTAATATTTATTACAACCCTTAGTAAAGGTAGATCCCATTGATTAGAAGTAGGTACCCTTTAAATCCCTGAAGTGCATAATAGTACATTGTTTCATTATTTTGATCCAATGAAACATGCTATTTTTTCTGCAATGGAAATAATTGATATATAATTAACAAAATATGAGTGAAGTTTTATTTTGAGTCACTTGAGCATGCCATTGTCAAAGCAGCTATCCTATCAGCTGTCATCTGACCCACTTTCACTTCCTAGGACTTAAACTTCAACTTTAGCTCCTAGACACTAAAAGTGTTTCCTAAAAACATACACATACTGATTATTTTATTGTGTAAGTAAGAGAAACTTCAACTTCAAGAGAAGATTTTAGAACAGAAATGGACAACTTTTGAGCACATTGCAGAAATAATAATTTTGGATTACTTTGAAATTTGACTCCATTCAACTTTTGAGAAGCATTAGAAACCAGAATGATTGTTTTCAATCCCACACTTGCAAGTATTTCCTTCATTTTTGTTTGATGAACTAATAATATAAAATCTGTGAAATGAATGTATATACAGTGTGACTCACTCAAGACCGGAGCACCCTTATAAAATCGATAGTTTTTAAACAATTTCTTTTTTGCAAAATAAAATTTCAATCTACAGGGCATACTATGTTATTTTTTTCATGTTAAAAATTGCGAAATATCATTAGCGATTTTTTTTAAATCGACCCCACCAATGAATTCAGCATCTTTCAATTAGTATGAGCGCAAAATTTCATTGAAAAATATCAATTGGCAACAAAGTTATAACAACATTCATTTTGATTGCTCACCATTTTTTATGAATATTTCAGACAAATTCTGAGAAGCGGCAACATTGTCAACACAAATGTTGGAAATCATCAAGGTTTCATCACCAGGTTTCTGGTATACATTTTAATTGATAACACAAATTATTATCCAGTTATAACATCTAAATTGGAATAAAATGAAGAATCCATAACGTCAAAAAATCGGCCTTGTTCATGCAAGTAATTAGAGTAAGAAAATCGGATAGTCTGTATAGTAAGATAATATCAGAAGTCATAAACATCAAGAGCTTTCAGAAATTGTTGATTTACATTGATAATTAACTTATACGAAAATCCTCGCGAAAATCTGTTTCTCCGACTTCATTACTTCATTCCAAAAGGGTACCATTCTAGAGATTATAACTCGATAATAATTTGTGTTGGCAGAGATGGCAATGTTGTCGCTTCTCAGAATTTGTCTGAAATGTTCATGAAAAATGGTGAGCCATCAAAATTAATGTTGTTATAACTTTGTTGCCAATTGAAATTTTTTAATGAAATTTCGCGCTCGACCTAATTGAAAGATGCTGAATTCAGTGGTGGGGGGGGTCGATTTAAAAAAAATCGCTAATGAAAATGAATAATAAAGTATGCCCTGTAGATTAAAATTTTATTTTGCAAATTTGTGTAAACATAGATGATAGTCCTTCTGCTAAAACAAAAAAAAAAGAAATCGGTCAAAAACTATATATTTCATGAGGGTGCTCCGGTCTTAAATGGGTCACACTGTATATGGAAAAGAAATATTCTTAGATATATTATGAACATGAAAAAAATGGATATTGGATTGGATATTCAACAGAAAACAGCTACTTTCCTGGCTATATGCCATGATGAACATTGAATTACATCTATGGAACACACCTCAGAACACACACAATAAGAGTTTGTATACATTGAGGTATACATCCTGTAGAAGATACCATAAAGTGGTCTTAGATTTTCAATATGCTGAAAATTCTTCATATGTTTTGGAAATTTTTCCCCAATCAACCAATATTAGGTGAACATGCCTCTAACCTTTTCTGAGATGATAATAATTACTGTGAGAAAATTGTAAGAGCTTGTGTACATTAAAAAACATGAATTCAAAGATCCTTTGATTGGACCTTTTAATGGCTAAATGTTTATAACTACCTTTATGCTCATAGACATTGCTGTCACAGACAACAATATTTGCTGGTAAATCATTCTGAACTCTTGGGTAGTTTGGATAAAACCCCTCACTCATAGTCAATTTCAAGTTATTCTTCACCTGATCCAATTTAGTCACAACTGGTGGTTTCACCTCTATGGCTTCAAAGTTTTTCAGCATCAAATTCCCCAAAGGTCTTCTGTTCAAATTATCCTGTGATGAAGAATAAACTGTCAGGTCTTCTTGACCCTCTGGTACCCCTCTTTCAGCCAATGGAACTGAAGTAGAGAAATTGAGGATATTCTTCAGGCTCCCAAAAATGTTTGAATCTAGAAGATTGGTTTCAGATTTTTTCTTTTTCAAATTAGTTTCTTCCTGAACAATATTTGTGTCAATATGTTTCTTAGAGTGCTTTGTTTTCTTGAGACAGCTTGATTTTGGTCTGGACTTCAAACTAGGTTCTTTTCTCACAATTGCCTCCTCTGAATCTTCCTCATCAATTGAGCTAGAGCTAGCAGTTGAGCTAGATGATGTTGAAGAATATTTGTGCTGGTTGATATAGATATCTGACTTTACTTCCCTTTCAGAAGGTTTTTCATAGTATGGAGCATCACCTTCTGCTGCCCAACTATATCTACCTTTGACTACATCAGGTTTTTTAATAAAACCACGTTGAAAGAAGCTGAGAGATACTTCTGGTTCATGAGTGATGAAGCCATGATTGATGTGTATATCATCAATTTTTGTGCTGTTTAGTATATCCTCATGAAATGATACTCTCTTTTTGGGGGTATCAGATTTTGACTTTTTCTTTCTCTGTCTACGGAACACTATTTGCTCTTCATATTGCTTATCCTTGACTTCTGGTATGACAGTGGCCTCTGGAACTGGATCATGACTCAGAGCATTATTCAATGCCAGTTTCAAATTCTCATTGACTTCTTCTGACAAACTCACATGCATATCAGAGTTTTCTATGGAGGACTCCCTGTTTTGCAAAGTATAATCAAGCAACTCATAGCTTGTTAGTGAGACATTCATTAAATCAGGCTCATTATTTTTAATAGGGTGCTCCATTTCAAATACATCATCACTGAAACTTGATTCAAGTCTAGGAGCATATCTCAATTCATCAAAATAGTTGGGTACAGAAGCTGACAGCTTTTTGTAGTCTGAGACAACATTTTGATTCATTATGTCACTTCTTGTCATCATTTTAACTTGCTCTGGATGGTCAATTGGACCCAATTTCTCACATGCTTTGTAGTATTCAAAAGATAACATTTCCCCATTAATTTTAGGTTCTGCTTCTTTGTTCTTTGGGAATATGTCACTTTCTTCAAGCTGTTCTTTATCTATATCTGTAGTGAGTGTATCAATATCACAACCAAAACCACTTGCTGACATTACTGATGTGATTTCGCTTTCACTATCTAGCAGTTGGACTCCAGAGTCTACTGGGGAAGATAAACTGGAAACTGTGCTTGAAGTCATTTGTCCATCATGGATTTCTTGTGGTATTTTCTGTGGATAGTCAAGTTTTCTTTTTGGATCTACATTTCCATTTCCTACTTCTGTCTCCATCTTATACAACAAAAAATACAAATAAACAATAATCAGCTGCGTTTATACTTGGAGTGGTTTACCTTGATATTCTAGTAGTTGCAGCAGTCTTGCAGTACCTACACAAATTTATATCTCACTTTTTAGCTTGGATATGGGATGATGTGTAATTTTTATGCACTGATTGAACTTGTAAGTTATTAATGTTCATTTCAACGTAGTTAATAAGTATAGTTGAGAGGGATCAATTTCGAGCATGCGTTCACAATGTTCTATATTCATGCATTACATTGATTTTCTGTAGTTTTTAGTCATTTTTGTACATTTCTCTTTCCAGTCTTTCCTCCTTCTCCAACACCCAAGACGACTTTGTTTTGTTTTTGTTACTGTGTCACTGTCACTTATGAAAGTGTCATTTCTGTCATTGTATGCCACCTGTCACTGTCAGAAGTGTCAAATACAAAATACTCAGGATAGTGATATAGTCCCTAGCCCTCCGAGTCCCGAGACACTAACCCTATGGGATAGTCAGCCACGTGTGAAGGAAGAAAATAAATGACTTTCATAAGAATAACTGTGAATAACTCAAAAACAGCTAGGTAGACCCCTTTTATTCTAGGTGAACTGGGCTAGACATTCATATTTTGAGCTCGGAATTCTCTATAGTTGAAATAATTTCAATTATTAGCGAACCAACCTGTACATCATATCTTCAATGGGGAAATTCACAATGTATTTTCCTCAATATTCCCAGAACACTTAACAATAAAATAATCGATTTTCATGCAATGGACAATAGAATATTTTGGAAACTCCTAAGCCCTTCAAATCTAGAGACATTTTCATCTTTACCCAGTTACCCTGCTGTTTGATAACCCCTATACAAAATCTAGAAATAATTTCCCCTTCATTGTCATTCTATTGTACCTTCAGAAAATATACCCAAAATACTATTACCTATTTATATGATAAACTACTTGAATAGGTAGTGATTCCAATTGAGCTCTTTTCTACGCTTGAACGAGAGATATGAGGAAAGTTCTCTCCTCTTCCATCTTTCTCTTCAATGCTATACCAACGTGGCCGCATTGAAATATAGAGAGATCCAATAAATCTTTCCTTGTCTAACCTCTAGTCAGCGCCACTGAACTATTTTCGATATTATAATGACGTGATATGTCTATATGTCATGAATGTCATTGACTGAGGACAATTAGAATTTTCGAAATGAAATTTTGATTTATATCATACTTATTTTGACATAATTTGTTGATATCGTTAAATTTGACACTCTACTGAATTGAAAAATAGTTCAGTAGCACAAAGTTGATGTTAGACAAGATTTATCGGACCTCTCTATATTTCAATACGGTCACGTTGGTAGCATTGCAGAGAGAGATGGAAGAGGAGATAACTTTTCTCTCTCTCGTTCAAGATAGAAAAGACCTCAATTTCAGTCTTTTTTGCAAAGGCGATAAAAAGAGAAAGTAACATTGCTATCACCAATTAGGAGGTAAAATAAAAAAGGAATTTCAAATATAAATTTATTTTGTCTTCAGGCTATCAACTATGATACAAAAAATGAGACTTTATAGAAAAATTGGAGATAAGTTAGATGAAAACAGTGATGATTTGTCTAGATACCTACCTATCAATTATTAGTCTATTATCGTCATAAGTATTAGATATAGGTAAACACTAAATATCTCATAAATAAACTTATTAAGTGAAAAAGCTTCAATATTAAATCAAGAAATAAGAAAATGCAAGAAAATTTACGAAATGTCATGAGTAGGTACCACCTACTTAAACAGAAAAAATATACCACTGTGATACACAGTTTTACAAGTAAACAATTTTCAACACTGACTAAATACGCATAATGAAAATACTGGTTCAAAGTTGGACAAAACAAAATAATCAATAATATAAAGGAATACACTCAAATATCACATCTACCTACTAAAATTATATATTGCTTTCCTATTTAGAAGATGTGTTTTTTGGTTTCAGTATCCGTATAGATAGACATATCAAATACATAGTTATGTGATTTTAAACATTTAAATCAACTTTACACCTATCGTTTTAAACAGAAGAACAAAAATGGAAGAATTCTAGGAAAAAAACTGGATTCATTGAGAACAGAGAAAACATATTAGCGGTGCAACAATTACACGCGCGCCTCTGGAAGTACTTACATAGAAGTATGGCAGATTTTTGACATCAACATTTTACGATTTGTGCTCACTTGCCTTGATAAACCATTGCTATGAAGGGGATACAGGGTGTTTAAGGTGGAATATTGTATAAATAATCAAACATAGGACTTTTGGATATCATAATTTGCTAGTTAGTTCAATCCATTTTTTAGAGGGCGCCACGTAAGTTACTTTTGTTAGCGCTATTCGAGAAGATCAGGAAGTGGACGACCTCTGGTGTCAAAATTTCAAAGCCGTCCGAAAGGCTACAAACAAACGTATTGGAAACATAGGGTTTATCGGATTTTTCATTTTCATTTTCTGATGAAATAATACTTATTCAAAGGAATTTGAATTCCTATGTTAATATTTTCAAGCTGTTGAGTGTGCATTTATGCCATAAAAGTGGCTAATGTAGCCGGCTCTACAAAATACATTGAAGTAGGTATAGTGTGTCCTAGCTAAAAACAACTCCGATCATGAAATAAAATACATGGAATATGAGAATTACAGAAAAATTTGCCCTGTCAAATTAAAATAATTGACCTATACTAGCGATATTCAATTCCTTAAACGAATTCGGAGATAAGGTGTTTTAGCTGGACACATTGTATGACATCACCATTTCTCATACCCAGAAACTTCTAGTTTCGAAATTGAGAAGTTATTTTGAAAGTTGAATTTAGTAATCTCAACTTTGACACCCTTTCTCTCTCTTATTAGCAACATTTTAGCAAGGCAAAAACCTACCACATTTCTATGTACAATTATCAATCAAGGACCACCACTCTTCATATTGAGATGACAGACGAAAAATATTACATTTCCTGGATGACAGCAGATTAAAATTCTGCCATTAGACGCGAGTCTTTGTGTTGGTAACAGGTGATGGTGAAAGAATCTTCTATTCTCAATTAATCATTTCACATATCTAATGGTAATGATAAACTATAGAGTATGTTTACTAATATTCATCTACACCAATTTCTTGCAACTTAAGATTAATATAATGATCTCTCACGATATGGAGAAACAAATCTTACAGATTCATACAGCAATGACAAAAACTTTGTTCTCAATCAGTAATGGGCCATGAGGTCATCAAAAGTGAGTTAAACAAACATTTGATGACTCCTGAAAAATTTACTGATTAATAATGTGCAAGAGTTAAACTATCCAGTTATGGTGTTTATGCTATATTTTGAAGCGAAAATACACTTCAATTGATTCATTCTAGAACAGATATTGAATATGTTGAACTCATTACTGACATTTTCTGTTATTGACAGTTCAGAGTATTCGAACCTGGCTGTATATTATAGTGACACATTCAAACACACTTTCATCTTCACATCTCTTACCATCTAATTAGATTGAAATTACAATTTCTTTTTTAATATTCAATATTTCCGAAATCTAATGCCACAGCCTTCATCTATCAAATAATAGCAAACAAATTGTCAATAATTATTAAACCCTGTATATCTAAAAGATGTAATACTGAAATGATTTGTCAAATATATGTAAAAAACAACTCACACTAACACATGATGATATTCGGAAAGAAATATTTAGATTTGAGTGGCACAACAACTGGACTTTAGTGAACAAACAACAGAATTCTTATTAAGGAACATATTTTTTTTGCTAAATATGCCTACCACATATATATTTCATAATCACAATTTTTTAATGTCAATCAGAGCTGGGCGAACAAATACTACACATCCTATCAGAACATTTTATTCACTGGCCATGTTTGTATCATATGGATAGTTGGTATTAAGGATATCTAACTAAATTCAGACCAAATACCTTAGTTAATGCATGATTACAGCATGTATCTTCAGTTGACTAACGTTACCAACTTTGTTTTGATTTGATTATGTTTTTGAGGTTAGGTTGTGGAACTCCACCTGAATTCGTAAATTAAGAATAAAACCTTTTAGTAGGATACGAAATTAGCTGAAATTGAATGAAATATTATTATGAGAACTCGTGAAATACGGCCACTTGCACTCAAGTCAATTCAAGGCTATACAAAAGTAGACCGAAATGTTCACACTGTCTTGGTCATCATACTATTTTAGTCTGGTGCAACAAATTTGGGTACCAGACCAACCTGGTAACTTTACCAAATATACAGTTTATGCCAAACTGACCAAGAATATTTAGTTAAAATGTAGTCATTAGTCAGCTTACCAAGACACGGTATAAACGTGGCCACTATATTTGGATATACTTGATGAGTTAATCATTTTCTTCATTCCATATACTTTGAATTTGTACATAAATTAGTAATAAGAGTCCGATTTAGTTCTATTTCTTCATTGAATAACTTTTGAAAGAAAATCAAAAGAATTGCAAATCCCAGTTGATGATGTGATTTGATCAGAAATTCTTTAAGATGGTCCAACATGTCTAGTAGATACCAGGTTTCTTCAATACTACTTGAATGTACATATCAACAAGCATCAGTGATTGATATTGTTCGTAATTTGATATTGTTATTTGTAAAAACAAAACTCTGCAGTTTTTTTTAATGAAAAAATTAGAACTGAATTGAACTTTTGCTTTTCAATTTATGGCCCTGAATTTACCTAAGTGGTACCCTCTGAATGTACTCATAACCTTTATATACCTACATGCTCTCTTGAATGTAGAAATAATGTTCTTATAGATGGTACCTTGATTCAACCCAGCTCTGAAGTCAACTTGGTCGGAATTGTAACCAAATACTAAACAGTTAAGCCACGAATTTGCTTAGCTTTTATAAATTCGAGGAAATGATATAGAATTAGTTTTAAATGATTCCCAGTCTGCATTATTCTAGTTCACATTAACGTATTTTAACAAATTATTTGCATTAATACGTCAATATGAGCTGATACCCAAGGTTAGTAGATCTCATGATACTTTAATAATCCCACCCGAAATTGTTGAGGTCTTTAAAATCTATGCATAATAACTCCCAAAAGGAGTTTTCAATGGAGTGACACCATGAATGACCACCTTTCCCTCACCGTGTTTTCTAACGGAGGAGATTAATGGTTTGTTTAATCTATGATTCTACCAACCTTGTTAATACCATTACAATAATATACTTACTACAATGCATTACATTATTTCAAGTCCATAATCATAGAAAAAATATGAAAATATAACGATTAGTTTCACACCAATATTTTTTTAGAAGAATTAAATATCACATTAAAATTCTGATGTGATGTAATCAAAAAATTTGAACTTTCAATCAGAACTGTAACACAAATCGTTTGGATCAGCACCATAATAAATAAAACTCTACTTTCATGAGTAGACATTTATATTCATCCAGTCACTTTTTATTCGTGAGGAAATTGGCTTAGAGAATACAAATTTCCACTTTTATTTTTATTGCTTTTGGTGCAGTATGGAACTTTTCAAGCACGCAATTTATATGAAAATTTTACCAACTTATAGTTGAGTGATAAACTATTACCACAGAAATAGAGCAGAGCTTTTCAATAAATTAGGTAGTTGAAATAATGACATCCCCGAGATAAATTGAATTGCCAGCTAATAATTTATTTCGGAAAAATATTACCCTCATGATTTGTGTTACAGCCTTTAAAAAAATAAACGACTTTTCAAAAACAAAACTCGAAATATCCCCTCAGTTCAGTGCCCCTTTTATGCTAACCTTAAAACTACCCCTTCCTCCGAATTACCTTTGTTCGGCGTAGTCCAACAAACAGTAAGCCACAATCAAGAAGTCTGGTAACTGTTCAATAACAGATACCTATATTCAGTTTTTTCAAATAATAATAAACTCATCAATTACAATTATTGATAAAAATCCGCGATGTTTCATTTTCTTATGTTGAACAGCAAGATGATAATAATTCATTTTAGTTGCAGGAAATGTTGACCTAACTTTGTTGGACCATATCATCCTTCAGCAAAAACGTGGAGTGGCCAGCCAGATTGCGTGCAAATGATGGAAACAGATAAGTTGCACTGGTCATGAAATTTGGCGGCGGCCATCTGAATGGGGTGAAAAGTTGACACCCTGCAACAAATTGAAAAATATATATTCATGTCACCATTCATGCATAATTTTGTGTAAGGAATTTCGCGGAACGAGCGTTGATACCAGTAACAACAGCAAAGTATACGATTGGAAACCGATTTCTTCTTTTGGACATTTTCTTATTGTGTCTAGTAACTATAACTAAGGAAATATATACTTTCATAGCACATTATAGGCCAGTTGCATAAAGTTCTCAGGAATCAACTCTCCTAACTCATCAGCTAATATGAGACGCACTATCTAGCTTGACTATCAATTGTTATTGAAAGATTTCATAGCAGTTCCAGATGTCAAGTTAGTTCGAACCTAAACCTCTGCTGACGTAAATCCACCGATTTCGATCAATAGGCGAAACCAAAGATCCTGGGTTAGGATATGAGTTCGAACTATGACCTGAACAACAGAGTAATCCAAAATTCTCCTAAATCTGCAGGTTATTCCTGAATGAACAACTGGCCCTTAAGTGAAGCTTAATCAATCTGAGTAACATGATCGTTTGGTGAAACCGGACACGATGCACGGGAAGAGCGAAAGCGAAACCCAAATTATCCGGAGAAATGACTATAAGTGTCGAGCGTGCGGGTGACCTGCGCGAAATTCTTATTTCCAAGAAGAACGCAATAAAGCTGAAGATCTCCTCGGCAATTTCAACCGAACAAGATCGAAGACATTGATCAACCTCAGCCAAATTAGTCTCAAGGCAATAATGTGATTTTGAATGGGGCATCCAGAAACACCCCTTCACATCACAAGATATCGAATATACTGGAATCATACCAAATACCACGAATAGATCGCCTCATGACCCTCAATTCCCTAGAAGAATTGAAGCTTGAGGGGCTGCTGTAAACATGAAATCATTGAGATAGCAGAAGATGGGGCACAATAGATATAATCAGGTCGCAGCGCACCTGTCTACAGTGACTTTATAGAGAGTGGCGCACTTTTTGATTGGTTAGACCTCTAATATGGAAGTGCATCCACCCGTGTTGTTTTCTTCATTCAGTTATACACATTCTATTTCACTTTATCAACGCTTTGTCATTGTTGATCGCTCTTTGGACACAAAACATCCAACAACCAGACATGAAACTCTATACGTCAGTACCTTGGATATTACCTATCAGAATCCGTCTTTTGGACAGGTGGGCACTCCAAAGGCGCAAAACCATTACTGCATGCCCTTCAGATTTTCAGCTAATCAGTGACTTGAACACGAATGACATTCCGGAAACGGCAGCCATTTGGAGGTCTATAGTCGTCAATCTATTCAATCTACTCACTCTATCCACACCCCACCACATCTTGCTGGAGTGTTAAGCTGCACATCACAAGATATCGGATGGCCTTGAATCATACCAGTTGACTGTGGAAGAAATACCACGAACAGATCCCCTCAAGACCCTCAAATTCATAGAAGAATTGAAGCTTGATGGGCTGCTATAAACAAGAAATCCTCGAGATAGCAGAAGAAGATGGGGAACAATAGATCGAATCGAATACCAATCATATCATTGTTAGGTTCGTTTTGAATATTCTCGCTCCACATAGTCTATTCGTTCATCTGAGGGGCTTAGGGACTTAGGGAGAAACAACTATTACTTACCTAAAAATCGTCCGCCGAACAACTCCTGTCGTTTCCCGACTCACCCACCTCACCCCCCGTCGCCATGAAGGTGACGTAGTGCGTGAGCCTCGTGGGCAGACAGCCGGCGTTCAGCTGATAGAACTCCACCAGCTGCAGCAGGTCGTAGAACTTGGTGGCACCGCTGTCGACGGTGAGGACGGCGCGGTGGCGCAAAGGGTCGAGGGTGGGGGTGACCTGCGCGTGGATGACCTTGCCACCGCACTTGTACGTGATGACGTAGGCGCCGGGGTGGGAGCGGCTGTCGCGCACCAAGAACACCCTATAACAATGGAGAGGATATCAACTGGGCGTTCGGTGTCATACAACGGCAATAATCTGATTATATTAAACTCCTGGATGCAATCCTCTGTTTTTGGCCACAAGATTGTACAAAGAGGTATACCCCAATATTTGCATAATGAATTAGTTTCTCGTAGATTCCCTGCTCGGGCGCCATTTGTAAGGGACTATATTTATAGGGCCTTTCTTTGGCGCTTTCCGATCGAAAACTTCTGATACATGTTTCGGATATCTCGAGTGCCAGATTTTTCATGAAGCTGATGAGTTTTGAAGGTCTATATAGCAACAGTGAGGAAAGACACACCTAATTTTGTCAACTTATCTATCACAGTTTTCGATATATATCGATTTTTCTGAAAATAATTACCGCCTTAGTAGTTTAGGAAAACATTCGTATCTAGCTAACCATTCAAAATTAGAGCACAAAATTTGTGGAACATTTAGCTAGAAGTCTTGATGTCCTATCGATGTTCCCATTTTGTACCAAATGGGCGATTATCAAATGTCGCATTGAAAAATTTCCGAAAACTCGACTTTTTCAAATGACAACTACTCTTTGACACCATATGGAAGATAATTAAACTTGAGGATGAGTTACTTGAACCTTCCCTATACCTATTCAAACTTCAAATTTCCATCTATTTATTCAATAAAAACCAAGAAATGCCTTATCTTGCCAAACGTTTTTTTGCATTTTCAAACACCTATGACACAGATCATCTACTACTCAGATGCGAAAGCTTAAGTGAAATCTCAAGCACAGTGACACTTTGGGGCTACAAGTATATATCAATAATAGGTATATACTAATATTTGTATTTATAGAGACGAAAGAAAATACCAGAAGAATCAGAGAAATCAATGCCTATTGTAATTGGACAAAGAAAAAATAAAAAGCAGTCACTTGCATCCATATTTGGCTCTGAAAAATATGATGATAACACCAAATCCTGTCAACAACTTGAAATGTCATGTCACATGCGGTCTAGAGATATCAATAGAAGGTAGGAACCGCAAAAACCGCAGGTCATGATAAAGATCAATCCTGGTGTTATTAGTTCTGCTATTATAATTATTATTTACATTCGGCTACCGTATTGGACGATTTATCACCCAGTATTTTTTTCAGGCTCACAGGTAGATGGAGACGAGTTTAATATAATTTAAAATCCCCATCCTTTCGAAGCTCACGTCATCTTCTACACAGATGATAACTCTCTGCAGGCAGCATGAATACAGGTGCACTTCGATTAAGCAAAAGTTAATTCTACTAACAGAAATTCGGGAATTCATCACCATTCTATGGTAGGTAATAGCTTGGCAAGTTTTTTAACCTTATTGGCTTAGCAGTAGTGTCATGAGTCATATACAGGGTGATCCATAATGAATTGTACACAGAGCAATGGTAGAATGCTGACTTCAAAATATTCCTCAAATAATATGGCCTCATTAATCTGGCTAGACAAGGAGCAAGTAGCTCAGCTGTTAGACGAGAACCAATCTTAGGAGTTTCTAGATCCTGGAGCGTCTCAACCATGATGAATATCCTGGAAGCAAAATTCCAGGATTTATGGAGAGAGACACCTGGCATGAGACAATCGAAACTCCACACCGAAGGCACTTCTTTCATAAGAACCAAAACTTTCCTCACGTTGAGCAGAAAAGAAATTAGAATAGTGGTAGCAGGGCTCCCCAAGGGGCTCTGCCATCTAAACAAGCAACTCAACACTCAACATTATGGGTATCAATGATGATGCTGAATGTAGATGGTGACTGGAGGATGAGTCAGCTACTCACATCATCACGAAAATCACGGAATGCCCAACAGTAACAATACGAGACGCATATCTACTGAAATCAGTTAGGGTTTTGACAAACAGCACATTTACAAATGCTAACAGATTTGGTCTTTTTCGCTCGCAAAATGAGCTACCTCGATGACTGAACCAATTCCCAACAGAGGTGGGTGCATGAAAGGTCCGAAAAGGATATTGATGAAATCTCCAAAGTGATGGACCACTTTAAAGCTCAGGAATCATCAATGATAGACGATATGGCTTTGGCCAGCGAAGATCAACTTGCCTACGTCACCCATATATGACAAGCTTCATTAGAAAAATATGGGGAATCTCTAGCTGTGGCGTTAGACATATCGAAAGCATTCGACCGTGTTTGGCACCAAGAACTCCTTCACAAACTACCATCATACGGCTGGCTTACCGCCTCAGCTATGCCATCTCTCATGAGTTTTATTTCAGCCAGATCACTCCACGTGGTGGTGGACGGTGTATTGTCTTATACCATTGCCAACAATTCCGTTGTTCCAGAAGGATCAATTCTGGCACCAACATCGTTCCTACTTCATATCAATGATCTGTTGCTTGCCCTATCCACAGTTTGGCAGATGATAGAACTCTCCATATTGCGTTCACTTCCAGAATTCTCATTTCTTCCCAGGAAACTAAGAACTCATGGCGAAGACAGGTCATTGCTGTCAATGAAGATCTTGCCAACCAGCAAACTAGTTCAATTCAACGTCTTGAAAACTCAAGTCTGTATTTTCTCTAGAAAGGCAGAACTCAGTATGCCTGATATAACAATGTCTGATACCAACATTCACACCAAGTCAACTATATCTATGCTCGGTGTCTCCATCTGCAATACTCTTTCATGGGATAATCATGTCAGATCCATCGCGAAAGCTGCTTTACGAACACATTGATATAGATACTTCCACGGGAAATGTTCTTCAGAAATTTCTGCTATCATTCCATGACTAGCAATTCCAGCCAGACGAACTCGACAAGCGCGGTCAGCCCATCCTTCCGTTGTCAACCTCGAAATATGTCGAACAACACTATATAAAAACGCATTTCTCTATAGAACGGAAAAGCTCTGGAATTGCCTGAGGAACTATTCCCAAAAACTCATAATCTCCAAAAGTAAAAAAGAATCTAACACCTACCTCCTCTCCCTATTCTCCTTAGATATGCACGATGTTCTTCGAACATTACAGGGATTCTCTTTCGTGCGCACCAAGCGATAAAAAAATTGGAGATTCCTCTAAATCGGTTGACTTTGTCGAGTTGAAGCAGGTATATACCTTTTCTATTCATAAATATTCTCTTCACAAACCAAGGGTATATACTGATACTGACATTTGACAACACTTTGAAAAACCTCAATTACCAATAACATTGTAGCGGATACTGTAATGTTCCGAAATAATTAATGAAATATTTCAACTTTACCACCCAGTAACTTGTTTACTCATCAATATTTTATAGAGGTCATATTTTGAAAATCGTTTCAAATGATGTCAGGATTTCTACCATTGCTCTGTGTACAATTCATTATGAATCACCCTGTATTCATTTATAGTTTAGTGTTTAGTTTAGTTTAGTTTATTTAACAACGTTATGTACAAAAAAATACATTTGTTGCAGGTCATGAACATTACATCTAGTGGGTAATGTAGGGTTATGAACATAAGTGCATATAAATGGTAGCAAATCAATAAAGCACACACAAAAAAACAGAAAAACAGAGTTTTGTCAAACACAAATAAAAATGTTAAAATTGAAAAGCTATTATACTTATTGTACTATGAACCTAACAAGAAGATCAACAAATCAGCATGTAAATATGGACGTCAAATTCAATTTCATATCAAGTTTCGAATGGTGTTCGTAAGAATTCCTCAGTTGTATAAAAACAGTGCTTCACAATGAATTTCCTCAGGAGATTTTTAAAGTGAAGGTAATCAGTATTGGTCAGTTTAGTTGGAAGTACATTATAGAGCTTCAAATTTATGGAATTTTTTTGTGATTTTGCAAGTCGGTATCTTGGAATTTGCAGTAGATTAGCAGACCTAGTATTGTATTCATGATGATCACCCCGAACCTGAAATTTACTTTTGTCTTTATGGATTTCCAGTAACGAATAGTAAATAAATAGCGATGGCAAAGGCATTATGGAATATTTAATGAATAGCGGTTGGCAGTGCTGACGGGTGCTCGCACCAGCAATGACTCTTATTGCCCATTTCTGCAATCGGAAAATCTTTATAGCGTTTGTAGCATTTCCCCAAAGAATAATTCCATAACTCAAATGTGAGTGGATTAGGGAATAATAAACGGACAGGAGAGTATTCTCATTAACACTTTTTTTTAATTGTCTCAATAGAAAAATATAAGAAGAAACTTTGTTACTGATATGGGTGATATGAGTCGACCAATTTAGAGAATCGTCTAGGTATATACCCAAAAGCTTGGCACTTCCACCCTCGCAGTGATGTCTGTTGCTCGAGAGAATCAGTTTATGTGTTTTGTCCCGATTCAGTTTTAATTTATTAGCAGTAAACCATTCTTCAGCAAGATTTGCAGTGTTGTTTATAGCTACATGTAGACTAGCAATGCTGCAGTCGCTATTAATCAAGGTAGAATCATCTGCGAACATGATTAGTCTATTTGGAAATAAATAATAGAAGAGATCGTTTACATAGGTGATAAAAAGTAGCGGTCCGAGTACCGAGCCTTGGGGTATACCATGTTCAATAAACTTGAATTCGGATGTGTTGTTATCAGTCACAACACACTGTTTTCTGTTCTTCAAGTAAGACCTCATTAATTAAATTGTCGAAGGCCTTGCTGAGATCACACATGGTAACGGCCGTGTGTTTCCCCTCCTCAAGGCAATTCTACTTTTTCGTTCATAATCCGATACTTGCAACATTCGCAAATAGATTATTCCAGCGGGTCACCCTGTATAGTGCAATAATATTCAACCACAGTTCGAAAATAGCGCTCTCTATTTGATATTGGTGTATTTAATGGGTTTACTTTGGACACAGCCAGAGGAAAAAGTGCCAACACAAGAAAAGATCACCACATCGTCGAAAATAATTGAACTTGGAAACCTTGAAAATTTAATGATACCTTGATAATTGCTAGATTGTCACAAGGACTCCGACGAATGCCA